TTCTTAGTCATCCTTTCTCTTTAGTTTCTAATTTTGTGGTGTAGAAAATTTAAGATCTGGAAGAGGGATGAATTTATGTTGAATAAATATAGTTTTGAGGTCGTTAGTAGTGTAATAAATATTCTAGAGTATTATTTTGTTGATAGAATTGGAATTTGAGGCATTTAAGTTTATTTTTAGATCCCTATGGGTAGATTTTTGGTTAGATCTGAAAATATAAATTGATTTGTTGATATTTAGATGATTGTTTGGGATAAGAAATAGATTATTATGGCTATAGAATAATGATTCTAGACTTGAAATCAAGTTTGTAATTTTTTGGGTATTTTTATGTGCGAATTTTTTGAATAAAAAGAGAAATTTTAATATTAGAAAAATATTTGAATGAAATTATTGTGAAGGAGACTATTGAACCAAGTAGATAGGTTCAAATACATGAAATTAAATTTTAGAATTTAAGAGACTAAGACTAATTTCTTAAAAAAAATAAATAAATAATAAATATAAAATAAAATAAAATAAATACTTAGGTTTTAGAGTATAAGTGAAAATTGTGTTAATAATATTATTGACATATTGGGATATGATCAATTATAGATTAATTTTCTTTTGACACCATTCAAGCTTTGGAAAGCTTTGGAAGTGTTGTAACTTGAGGGGTAACCTTTGACCTCTCAAAGGTTGAGGTAACCGGGAAAAATTTATTTTATGCATTTGTATATTAATTAATTAATTATATTGGTGAAACAAAAGAATATATATGTATATATATATATATATATATATCTAAATTTGAAATAGTTGTTTGTAATGCATGTGACTTTGTTGAGACCTTATGATTTGTGATCAAGTTAATTATGACTTGGTATAAGTAATGAGATTGATGTTGATGATGATGTGCACAATCTTGACTATAAATTATGAATTACATATATGAGTTTTTTTTAAAATGCATTTTTTATTAGTATGATCATATGGCGGGAGTTCGCCTTAGTGAAGGAATTAGCGATTACACAAAATCCATATGGTATTTGGCTATTAATCAATAATCCTAGGGGTTATAGCCGCTACTTACCTTGTAAGGTACTGTAGCATTGTTCCTATTAAGGAACTTGACCCTACTGGCCTACCTGGAGTTTTGGGTAGAGCTAGTTTTGGGTATGACACCCCATAGTGTGTGATTTGGGGGAAACCGTGTTCATAAGTGAGTAAGGTAACCCTGGCCCGGTAGCCCCTCATGATATGATTAAGGCTTTGGGTAGCCTCACCACATGGATGATCCCTTTCGGTTGTTGACCCACGGATTTCATGTCAGAGGAAATAAGGGGGGATATAAGGAAGAGATTGATCATGCATATTATTATTATCATGTCATTTGAGTGATTGATGGCTATGTTGAGAATATGATTATAACTGTAGAAATGAGAACATATAGTAATTATGCGAATAATGTATGTGTGGCTATTTGTGCAAATTTTATACTTGACTTTATTCTTGAAATTATTCACAAGTTAAATGTTAATGTGATTAACATGTTATTAATGTGATTGTTTGAATGGTCACTTTGATAAATTTATTGGTCACTTGCATTCATGATTAATTATCATGCATTTGTATAACTTAGATATACCTTGGTTACTGAGTGGTTCTACTTACCCCTCTCTTTTAACATATTACAGGAGCTAGCTCATCTGAGAAGAATAGAGGAAAGGAGCATTAGGCCAAGTGATAATAATCACTTCTGTAGGCCTCTCTCCTTTTTTGTTGATATGTATATTTAGTTTATGATATTGCCAATTAGGATAATATATTCTTGATCCATTTGCACTATGGGTTTTGTGTAGGATGGAAAGGTATTTTGGGCTCTTGAGATTTTGTTTTGATGCTTGTATTATATTAATGGGTCAAAATATTTGTGCAAGTAAAAATAGTTATTATCATGCTTCCGCATATGTTTAATTGAATGATATGAGTTCTTAAAATATTTTAAAGACTTGGGATTCTTTTATATTAAATATTTTGTGAAAAATAAATACATATTAAGAATTCATTTAGGTTACTCTCGTATTGTATAATCCATTTGGGTTAGTCCTTGATTAACCATGGTTAGTATGATGATTAAGTCCTAATTTATGACGCCCGTTATAGGCAACCCTTTTATTTAAGAATAATTGGTAAAGGTTAGTGGTTAAGGGAGAGTTTGATTTTATAACCTCTTGGCCACCTAAAAAGATTGGTGGCCATTTAATTATATATGGTAAAAAAAATAAATAAATAAATAGTAAACAAAGTTTCTAACCATGTTTATGTTATAACATAATGATATGTTATTAATTTTTAAATGACACTTTTTATTTTACTAATATTATTTATTAAACTGATATGAACAATTATAAATTGGGATCATTAAAACTTTATACATTTTACTTATGAATGGGTTGTTATTAAAACTTGAATAGGTATTTATTGTTAAAAGACTAACACATACAATTAAATCTATCCTATCATTTTTCTAATTTGTTAAAACTCGAATATATTATTGTTAGTTTCAAATAAATTGTTGTAGAAACTTAAACGTATATTTGTTAATGAACGATTAACACTTATATAATTAAACCCATCTTATTCATTTTTTTAACTTATTAAAACTTAAATAAATTATTGTTAACTTTAAATGAGTTATTATTAAAACTTAAATATATACTTGTTGATAAAGAATCAACAAGTACAATTATGCTCATCCTATCAATTTTTTTAGCTTGTTGAATTCTGAATGAATTATTATTAATTTTAAATTAATAATTATTAAAATTTAAATGAATACTTGTTGACAAAAAACTAACACATACAATTATGCCTATCCTAGATGTTTTTCTAGTTTGGTAAAGTATGAATAGACCATTGTTAATTTTGAATGAATTATTGTCAAAATTCAAATAGATACTTGATGTTGATGATTAAAAGCACATGTTTAATGAAACAAATGTAAAAACAATCCATTTAGGTGTTAATAATAATTTATTCGAAATTAACAACACTCAATTTAGACTTTAACAAGTTAACAAAATAGATATGATGACCATAATTATACATGTTACTCATTTATCAACAAATATCCATTTGAATTTTGACAACAACTAATTCATGATTAATAATAAAACATTTAGACTTTTAACAAGTAACATACACAAAGTTTTAAAGCACCCAATTTGTTATTATTCATGTCATAAACAAATAACATTAGTAAAATAATAAGTGTTATTCAAGAATTAACAATGCACTGTTATGTTATAACATAGAAGTGGTTAAAAGTGTGGTTCACACACACACAAACACAAAACACATTTGCCATATATAATTAAAGGACTTAGTAACTACTATGCCACCAAGTTTTTTAGGTAGTCAAAGGGTCATGAGATCAAACTTTCATTTGACTATCTTTATCAATGATTCTTGAATAAAAGTATCGCTAGTGCCTAAGCTCTGATGATCGGTTGGTGGTGGCGACAATGAGGAGTGAATTTTTTTTTTTTTTCATTTTAAACTTCAAGGGCAATTTGGTGATTTTATATAAAAATTAATATCAATTAAAGACCAAAAATTGTAATATAATTTTAAAATTTATTAATCCTTAATTGATATAAATTTCTTTTAACGGTCATTGGTTGATATTTTGTCAATTATTAATGCTAAAAGTCCACAACAACACGGTTCCTTGCTTGAATATTACCGTTGTATTACGCGTACCACATGAAACGGAAACTTACACGTAAATGAGTTTGTATTATGAAATAAAAAACAAAAGATGCAACAACTTCTGATATCATTCTCACCTTCTTATGATGTTTCAAACTATGATGACCAGGACCTATTTTTCATTATGAATATAATTATTAATTTCCCTTTTTGTCATAATTTTCGTAATAAGAATAGTATTATTTATCATACAATGAAGATCAGATTACAAATTGGATTTACGTATAGAGACATAGAATGAAGGCGATGTGAAACTTCCCAAAAGAAGTGAAAAAGTGACTCCAATTTTACGAAAAATTGTGAAGGAGAATCTTGGATTAAATATATTTTATATTAAATTCTTTAAAAATTTTAAATTATTTTAAAAACCAAAGACACGAAAGTCAAAAAATAAAATCATGTAGAAAACCACAACTTAAGATTTCAGTTAATATATTTCTTCTAATTTTTTGAAAATAATTTTAAAATTAAAAATTTTAACATATAAAACGTATGATGCTCTATCATTTTTCTCTAAAAAAAAATCATTTTTTCTGCATGTGATGAAGACAAGAGGGTTTCCCTATTTTAGGAATTAAAGACAAAAAGGTATTGTGCGTCCATTGTCACTGTCATTTCCAAAAAAACAAAAAGAAGAAAAACAAATAATTATACCAATCAATATGATGTTATCGACACCATTGTTAAATTATACTTAGATACAAAAATGGGAAAAATTGCTTGCTTATCTATCTCCATCACATCCTTTACTCAACGGAGATCTTGATGGCGATTATTTGAGAGGACTTAATTTTTCATTTGTTTAATATTTAATTATTTATCTACATATTTTATTTGGTTTAAATGTTAGAAAAATGGATATAATTTTTAAAAAATGGTTTAAGTTACAATCTCTTATATGCATCAAAATATATTAGTTGTTTATGAATACGTACACGTATAATTATTCTTTATTTAAATTATTGTAAACTTTTTCTTTAGTTAATTTCTGTTTTTCAAAATTTAGTTTTTTTAAAAAAGTATTAGGAGTTGAAAGCATAAAAACTTTTTATACATCACAGGCGCAGCCACTAACTCGTATCAAAGTATTGTACATGTAGTTCATCCCACAACATGAATATTAAATTTTTATTTTTATTTATTTATTTTCACTTGCTGTTAATTCATTATATTTAGTTTTTTAATACTATTTTATTTGAAAGGGTAAATGTAAAAATTTAGTCATGAATCATTTTTTAGAGAATAGTGAATATCCCATACTATAAATTGGTGCAAAAAGATCATCAATTATTAAAAAACGGAGCATATGCAACATTCTGTCCATTGTTGCTGACCTTCGTTAACTCAAATTTGTGGATCCACATTCTCCACGTTCTCTTCAACTTCGTCTTCTTCCAACAGATGTAGAGGAAGGCAAGGATGAGAGGAATGATGGTGAAGACATCAATTCTTGCTTAATTGATTGATTGATACTTTGCGATTAATATTGTATTATCATGTTTTGAACATGAGATCTTCTTGTCCTTTTTCTTTCCATTCCATGGTGCCTAAAAATCCATCCCCAGCTCTTCATGCTTCTTCTTCCTCTCTTGATTCCTCGGTCATTTACAATGATCCTACATTGCTTAAATCTCCATCTCCTTCGTTGCCCCTGAAATTCCCACATACTGTGCTCCCAAATGTAGATAGTCTATCACCTAGTTTTGCAGATGGATACGTTGGTTTTGATTTTGAAGAAAAATAATCAAGCGTCAAGTCGATGAATCTTGACTCATCGATGCCTTTGAAATCACACTCTCTCAATGAAAACACGCCTGTTTATATTGTAGAATCCTCCATCAATGTCCATGAATTAATCTCTTCTTCTCGTCAAACCCACTCCGTCTGAATTTTGCTTCATTGTAACCACTTCTTCCTCTAAAATCTAGGAGCAAACTATCATTCATGACGAAGCTTCTCATCGCAGAAATAAAGCTCATAGCGCCCAATGAGATCAAATCACCACCATCTTCAGATCCGAATACACTGTCTTTCCTAAATCTATAAGGAGATGTAGACCTAGAAACGCCTTCGTGATTGCCCGCCCACATATCTCTTTTCTCATCAAATCTGCCATTAACGCTTCTTCCACAATCCTTCTCCTTTTTCGTGAACAATTTCCTAATTCTCTGGGACCTTCCACTCCTCCTGAGGTAGACGAGGAAGGTGACGAATTAAGAGAGAAGATGAGATCTAGAGAGGGGGAGAAAGTACAGTGAAACTTGAGTTGGGCTCATAAAGGAATTAATATCCGTTTGGTCAAACTTAACAACAGGTGTTGGGCACTTTGTTTTAAATAATTAATGATTTTTTGCACCACCCGATAACATAAGCTACCCTACCTAATGTTTTGTGAAAAATAATTCATAATTAAATTTATAATTTTACTCTATTTGAAATGACTTTTTCTTTCTTCTTATTTTAAAATGGAGTTTCAAAAGATGTACTACAATATAGTAGTTTAAGTTTAATAAGAAATTCCAATAATTGTTTTGTTTTCGATATTTGATTTATGAAAATAATTGAGGCTAATTGACATAAATAATGACGTTTGATTGAGCGATTGTCCTTAAAAAAACCTTTTTCTTTTTGCCTCTTCTCTTACATTAAAAAGGAAAGCCTAACATTCAAGAGTTGTAGTTCAAGTAACATGATTCTTATTCCCTGAGGCAAGAGGTTCCAGGATTGAATCCTTATGCGGCTAAGGGGAAAACAGTATTGTGTGTGAAGGTGTGATGTGTGCAGAACCCTCTTCCTCGTGAAGACAGGTTAAATAATATAGGTCAAAAAAAAGAAGACAGCCTAACTTGGTTGCTTCTCTTGAAGAAAAAAGAACAATTTAAATAATAACTTCATTTTACCAGATTATGCAAGGTTTTTCCTTCTCGAACAACGCAAAGCAACAACAGGAGAGAGAAAAAAAAAAGGCAAAACTTACCGAAAGACTGATGCTAAGTAATCTCTATGTTATCTTCCCCCGACCAAGATTATACAGTTGCATAATCTTTATATCTCAACTCATCGATTGTTGATTTGTCAGTCAACAGTTAACCAGCTGTTGCAAGGTTCATACTTTAGAGTTGGAAAGATCTTGATGACGACGCATCCGATGCCTACGGTGAGATCTTCTATGGGCACGATTCGGTATCTCTGCTGGTTTATTTGGGGCACTAGAATGATGAATCTCTTCCACTGGACTATCAACAGCGAAAAGATAGTCAAGAGGATGTGTCTCTTCCTCCCTATCAAGAACAGGGTTTATCTGCAATGAAAGATTGATGAAAAGGAGATTCATTCAAACGCTCAAATTTGGGGAGAAAAAAAAAAGGTCCTAAAAATATAGTTTCATTGAAATGAAATTATGATAGCGTAAAAGACATGCATGGGAATACCATATTTACTAAAAACAAGTGTGGGTCTCATTTGCATTACAATGTTTGTGGCTTATGAATAGGGTAACTAATTATATTTTTATATCATATATAGATGTTTAAATATATATGTTTCATGAAGAATTTCAAGTGTATGGTAATGACAAATGACTGAAACTGACGAGAAGTTTTCCCAATCCATCACATTACTTCTGCATCAATTTGATCTAATTATTTGGCAAAGCACAGCAAGAGATCAATTCCATTAATGTACGTCTTGGCATCCAAGTAACCGCCGAGGGGTTTCACAATGGGGCTCAAGCGCTAAACAAAACCTTTGCCCTTGTATAAGTGGGCAGGGTGACAACTTCCCCCTGGTTCTGCCACTGTCCAAGCCCTAAGATCCTTAACTAAAGGCAGAACTCCATCAGAAGTATGATACCATCTAATTCAGAAGCAATATAAGAAAACTCACAAAAATATGCTTGGTGTCACGTTTGGTTTTTGCGCTGTCAAAGGCTTCCTCGGAGCTGCCTTGGGAACTATTTTTTGAGTCATCATAAGAGTCAGCAAAGGAACTATCAGAAAAGTCATAATCAAGTTTCCTTTGACCATTGACATGAATATCGCTATAGGAATTCCGATATCGCCATCTTAATTTAGGGTGATTAGAGGTTGAATCATCATATACTCTCTCCGTATAAAAATGCTTGGAGACAAGTTGCATTTTTGAAGGATCATTCTGAAACCGTGTCACCAATCTGTCATTTGAAAATAATATACAGGTAAAAATAGAATGCAAGTGGATAAAAGCAAGTGCAATATATGAGAGAAACCAGCTACCGAACAAAAACAAATTTCTCCTCCTGCTTGCCTCCCTCCGATGGGTGACTTTCAGACTATAAATGCAGTCAATGATACAGTAATCTGAACCCAAACAGCTATAGAGAGGTACATGCTTTAAAGAGGACATTATAGTAACGATTTTGAAGCACAGTAACGACATGCTAATGCTAGGCGGGTTTTCAGTAATCAGTCTTCCATTGAGCAGAAATATAACAAGTATTTGTCATATTCGTTTATCAGTGAAAGTCCTGGCGTTCACTTTTCTTGTCATTCAATTTGTGCTGTGATGGCCCCTCAGAATAAAAAACTTCTATTCTTGTTATATAATACATAACAGATGTAGCACAATTTATAGTTTTCATATGCATATTTCCTATATGGTAGAAAACTGGGATCAAATACAATAATAAACTCAAAATAAATGAAATTTTGACATCGTGTTTAAAACATAGTAAATTTTAAAATGCTAGCGACCATCTTGAGCACTGTCCCTATATTCAAATGCAAAATAAGTAATCTATTGATCTTTTTAAGAAGAGTCCATTGATAATCTAGTTCTCCAAAGACATACCTTGTCTTAATTTGGTTCACTAAAGTTCTAACGGAGCTTAACATGCAGATCAGATTCAGACATTTGAAGTTTGAGGGACATAATTCAGACAAGTTGTACCTTTGAAGGATCAGAATGTATTTTCACTCTTCTAATAGCGCTAATATTATGCCTACGAATGCAGAGTGAAAAATTGATAAAATAGCAAGACGACATGGAAATTGAAAGTAGATGCGAGCAATTTTGATCTTTATCAATGAAATTGTGAAGCATAAAAATGAGGGGAAAATGAAGCGATGAAGTAAGAATTTTTCTTCATACGGGAAATGCATTGCCTAGCTATTGATGTAATTTATTTTCAGTGCATAGCCATCTTGTTAGGACTTGTCATTGCTGCATTTCACTTTAACGTGAATGAGGGGAAAATAAAATATTACTTGAAGAATGAATATGCTCCTACCAGCAACCAACAAGAGAATCATAATCTACTATGAACTATTTGCAATTAATAAGCTACATCAATTCAGATAGAATTGATCTTATCATTACTGTTAAGAATTAGTAGTATTGTATTTACTAGGAATTAGGTTAGAAGATCAATGTGTAATTAACACTCATAACTCCTCTATCTTGTACATATGACTGTAAATGTGACAGTAGTAGTTCAGTATTTTTTTCACCGGCTACTTTTCAAATATCTCTCCCTTCATATGATATTAGAGTTCAGAAGCACCTTTCTTAATCTTTTTAGGGTTGTGTTTCCTTCCAACCCCTTCCTTCTTTCAAGAATATAAGAGTCACTATGCATTCAGACCTACCACCATCAGAAGCTCTGCCATCAACACATGCCTCGCCACTGTGTTTGGAAGCTGCTGACCAATTAGAGCTTGGAGTCCAATTGCCACCCACCGTTGCAATCGCTCCCACATGCCGTCCCCATTTTTCTGCCCAGTATTGCTTTGCCAGTGCATGTCTGCACGTCTTGCTGTAATCTCCTTCACCGTTTGTTCCACTATGCTCGCCATGGTCTTGTCTCTTTGATCACAAGGTGTGCTCCTTCGTTTTCCACTCTGTTGCTTTTTCCATATTTTTAATTGCTCCTTTCAGGCAGTGCTTCAGTAATGTCTGCCTCACATTCAAAACCCAGTTCCCTCTCTTCTGCTTTTAGTGGCACTCCTGTTATCAATATTGAAAAGTTATGAGGGCCTTCAAATTGCAAGTTGTGGGCTGCTTCAGTTCATCTTTGGTTCAAGGGATAAGGTCATTAGGACCATTTGACAAAGAGGGATACAGATATTTCCAAGGCTCAGCCTGGGTAAAGATGGATGCTCAGCTATGCTCCTTGCTGTGGAATTCCATTGATCCTAAGTTACTTCCTCTTTACTAGTCTTTTGACACTTGCTTTGATGTTTGCAGCAAGGCTGCCTCCTTATATAGTAATGATACTCATCATTATTATGATGTGATTAATACTCTTGTTAGTCTGAAACAGGAAGATATGGATGATACTACCTATGTTGGCCACATTGAGTCCCTACACCAAGAATTTAGATCTCTCATGCTTGCTATTTTTGATGTCCAAGAAAAAGAGTGGGACAAACTTTTCATCATTCTCACTTTATCTAATCTCCGTCCTGCTCTTATTCATCTTCAAGATCAAACTCTTGGCGGATCATCTCTTCCTACACTAGATAATGTCCTTGCTCATCTTATGCAAGTCTCCTTCAACAATGTGGCTTCTACAGAAACTATTTAGAATGCTTCAGTTCTAGTCTCTCACAAAGTAAGGGTGGACATAATTATCCTCGAAAATGTTCTTAATGCACTTATTATAACAAATTGAGTCATGGTCAAGATTGTTGTTAAAGCCTTTATAGGAGACCTCCTTGAACTGCCAATGTTGTTCAAATGTCTAATGTCTCTTCTACACTCACTGATAGGCAGTCACTTGCTTCCTTACTCTTGACCGAAGTCGACTATGAAGAGTACCTCTGTTTCTTGGCCAATAAACGATCACATGTTGCCTCTACTAATTATATTGGTAATCCTGTTGCTTGTTATTTGATTAATTGCATGCCCTCTTTTGTTTTGCATGACGAGATTCTCACTCCATTTAATTTCCTTCCACATCTCTTCATTCACTTCCTCCTCATGTTTTAAGGTGTACATGTTTTGTCCATGATTTAACTCTTAGCAAGGATAAGCTTGTAGCCAAAGCCATCAAATGTGTTTTCCTTAGGTACTCTCGAGTCCAAAAAGACTATCGGTGTTTCTCCCTTGCCACCAACAACTACTCTGTCTTTGCTTATGTCACCTTTGAAAACTCTCCTTATTTTCTCTCCTTTGATTTTGAACAATTTGTGTTTTAAGTCCTTTCTCTTCCTTACCTTGATCCACCCATAATTGACAAACCTCCCATCACTCAAACATACCAACGCCACTCTCACCTTCCCTCAACGACTAGCCATAGTAATTTACCGATTGACTTGGCCCTACTCTAGCATTGGCCCCTGCTCAGGTCTTGCTTCCTCCTAATGATGCTCTTATTGATCTTCGTTTAAGGGTATTCATTCTACTCATAATCGCCATCTTATTTATAATTTCTAGAGCTATCATCATTTATCTCTATCATATATTGTTTTTGTATCTTCTTTGGATTCTATTACCATTCCTAGGAATGTCAATGAAGCATTTTCACATCCTGGGTCGCAGCAGGTAATGCTTGATGAAATGGCAACTCTCCATACTAATCATACTCGAAATCTCATTGCTTTACCTAAAGGACAATCTCTAGTTGGTTGTCGATAGGTGTTTACCATCAAGTTTGCTCCTAATGAATCTATCAATCGATTGAAGGCACGTTTAGTTGCCAAATGCTATACTCAAATCTTTGGTGTTGCCTATGACAACACCTTTTCTCCAGTTGCCAAAATTGCGTTTGTCTACTTACTCTTGGCTATTGAAGCCATCAATCACTGGATTCTTTTCTAGCTTGATATCAAAAATGCTTTTCTCCATGGAAAACTTGAGGAAGAGGTGTATATGGAACAACGCCTTGGTTTTGCTGCTAAGGGAGAGTCTAGAAAGTTTGTACAACATGTAGATCCCTTTATGTTCTAAAACAATCTCCTCGAGCATGGTTCAATAGATTCAATACGATCCTACAGGAATTTGGGATGATTTGCAGTGCTGCAGATCACTCTGTTTTTTATCATCACTCATCATCTGGTTGTTTATGTGGATGACATTGTTATTACAGTCAATGATTGGGAAAAGATCTCTAAACTCAAACATCATTTAATGACATCCTTTCAAATGAAAGATTTGGGCAATCTCAAGTACTTCTTAGATATTGAGGTAGCTCAATCATCATATAGAGCTGTTATAGCACAACAGAAGTATGCTCTTGATATTCTAAAAGAGATAGGGATGTTGGACTTTCAACTGGTTGATACTCCTATGGATCCAAATGTCAAACTGCTACCACAACAGAGGGAGCCACTTGCAAATCTAGAAAGACTTTGAAGATGGGTTGGAAAACTCAACCACCTTACTCTCACTCATCCTGATATCTCTTTTCCTGTAAGTGTGGTCAGTCACTCTTTAAAATCTCCATGTGACAGCCATTAGGAAGCTACTGTTTGCATCCTTAGATACATCAAGGGTTCCCCTGAGTCAAGGACTCTTATATTAAGACAGGAAATTTTCAAATTATTGGCTAAGGTTATAGTGATAAGGATGATACTCAAGTTATTAGGTATAGTGATGCAAACTAGGATGGATGCCTAATTGATCAACACTCTACTTCAGGATATTGTGTGTTTATTGGTGGAAACTTAATTTCTTGAAAGAGCAAGAAACAGAATGTTGCAAGGCCTAGTGTTGAAATAGAATATTGTGCCATGGCCTTAGCTACATATGAGCTTATCTGGTTAAAACAGCTTCTTCAAGAATTGAAATGTGGGAATATTACCAGAATGGATTTGATTGGTGACAATTAGGCTGCAGTACATATCAACTCAAATCCAATATTTCATGAAAGGACCAAACACATTGAAATAGATTGTCATTTTGTATGAGAAAAGATTTGATCAGGATACCTTGCTACGAAATATGTTAACTCTAATGAACTAGCAGACATATCAACTAAAGCTCTCCAGGGTCCTCGAATAAAGTACATTTGTAACAAGCTTGGTACATATGATCTATACACACCAACTTGAAAGGGTTAGAATTGGGTTATTGATAGGGCCCATTATTTTCCTACGACATATCAGAGGAAGTCAAAGGGGAAGAATAACTCTAATGGAAATACTTTAACTGGTCCAGAAGCTTATCCTTCGGTCCCTAGCCATAAGGAACAGTAGTTTGTGATCTTTCGTAATGATTAGGATTTTTTGGGTAGTATGAGTTGTGTGTCAACCACAATAAAAGTATTAGTAGTCTTTTGCTTAGGAAGGGAGGGCCAAGAAGAATGAGAATGGAATTGTGAGGAGAGACCGGCCTTTGAATGCCAGTGGGAGTGACACTCTTGTTTTGAAGCTTGTAATCTGTGTTACTGGTGTTATTGTTATCTTTTAGAGGAAATAGGGTTTTGGGCCAGAATCAAAGTCTCCTTGAAAATCTGATTAGGTTTATTCATCTCATTAACGTCAAAACCTAAGTATTTTCCTCTCATATTTATTGCTGTTGCTGTCTTATTTATTGTCCTTTGCTGTGATTCTGGCTTGGGACACATTAATTACTAGGACTAACTAGAATTGGGTTAGAAGATCAATGTGTAATTAATACTCATCACTCCTTTGTCTTGTACGTATGACTATAAATATGACTGTAGTAGCTCAATATTTTTTCACTGGCTACTTTTCAAATATCTCTACCTTCATAATTACATTAGACGATTGTATCCAGAAGATATTGTAAATTCAATTCTCAATTCACTAAATGCTTAAAAACTAAAGCCAGCGTTGCCTAGGTCTCCCAGATAACTTATGACAGCAAGCACTCATTCAAATGTCTATTTACGAATACCAAAGAACATCTTACTACTACGGAATATTGTACAAACAGGAAAAGGTGAGTTTTAAGAATTGGCATGTGAGAAGACTTACATATCTGCTAACTCCTGCTGCATTCTACTTCCATCCAGTTGAAGAATATAATCTATGGAGGAATCCAAGGATCTAAACAATCTCCTCAACCCAAAGAAAGCAGCAGCCCCTGAAAAATTACAACACAAAAAACAAGGTAAAGGGGGTAAAATCTCAGGGGCATAATGATACCAGAAATGATCACAAGTGAAAGGTAATAGAGATATTAATCTCTTTTTTATTTGGCCAACCAATAGAGATATTAAATTTTACCAGCTGCAAGGTTGACTCGAAATGATCTCTTGAGTTTCCAAGTTGCTGCCATGAAGGATTTGTTGTAATCAGGATACATGAAAGAATCACATACAGAAAAGAACTAAAAAAACACATTAGAAGTTAAAAACTTTGATCATCCGCTGTATGTTGAACAGATTCAGTAATGTTTTTGCAGACCAGACCTTGGAATAGGGTGTTGCAAAATTAAAGAACAACGAATCTTGAGCTGTTGAGCAGATAGTTCTCCTATTTAAATGTAATGTTATTACAAATAAGAGTAAGCATATGTGTTGGGATTCAAAATTTACGAAATCGATAATCAGCTAAACATTAACCATGATTAAGGAATGTTAACAAAAAGCACACAGCAAAGAATGGATGAAATATTGGAGCATAATAAATCTTTAGCAGATAATACTCCTATATGCATGTAATGTTGTTGCAGATAAGCACCAGTACAAATCTCAAGTCACTCTTCCACACAGAAAAGGGGGGCATTCAAGAGTTGGAGTCACTGACCTGACCATGCAACTGTACCAGCCATAATTGCACTATCAGTGAAATTCTCAAGAGCTTTAGTTTTGCATGAAGAGAGAATATCAGCTTCCTGAGGTGTCAATTTCTCCTGAAAAATAAAAAAGACGTAGTGTTGGGTATACAAGTAATAGCAACAACATCAAGACCAGCTACATGGAATTTTCACGTCTTCTCCTTAGCATTCACAAGCACTCATAATTTTCAACACACATGTAAAATCATTTGAAAGAATATGTCTTCCTATGATTACCGTTCACCATTCAATTACAACATACGGGGAAACAGTCCAGTTCTGAATCAACTGATTGCCATAGAGTAAAACAAATACTCCTAAATTGCCAATACTTGCAGCAATAGCAATAACAAATAGAATTGCTAATAAGCATGACAAAAGGCGCCAAGAATCAAGAATTTGGGGGTGATAATTTGAAGCTGGATCATAGCAAAATCTCGAGAAGAGAGCCCTAAAGTGAATGTACCCGTTTGGAGTTAAGAGCTTGCTCCAGCATGAACAATGCGTCACCCATATTAATCTCCTTTGCTTGCGGCTCCACAATGATATTCTCAATTCGCGTTTACAGTTTGCTTTATCCTGAATCGCTCCACAGCTCCGTAGGTTGCTGCTTCTGTTTGGTTGTCCGTTTTAATTCTTTCTTTAAAGCCCAAATATCACGTACGAGATGATAAATTTTGAGTTTATAAAAAGATCTTGTGGGCCAAAAGCAAAAAAAAACCTTATGTGCATAACATTCTTTACCTTAAATTTGAAAGGTGAGCTATATCAATATTTTATGAATTAAAATTAAATATGAGTTAGATAACTTTTTAAATAGTGAAGGTGAGTTAAAAAATTTATGGTAAACAATTATACTCCTTCCATGCAAAAATTTTAGATATTTGCAATGTTTCAAAATATAATTAATATTTTTTTTAAATGCCTTTAATAAATAAATTATTTCATATTTATTTTAAGTGAAATACCCTATTAAATAAAAATAATATAAAAAAATAATATCAATCGAAAGACATTTAACTAATTTATAAAGGTGAGATTCAGTTAAAAATACCTAACACTTTTTTATTGAAGGCCATAATTTATAACTCATGATCAATATTTATTATTATTTTTATCATAAATGTAAAAAGCTAGCTAATTAATTTTTACAAATTAAACAAATAATTTAAGTTAATTATTTTATAAGAAATTGTTTTTAACTAAAAATACAGACTCATTTAATTATTTTTATTAATTGCACACATTGATGTGTCTAGTTAATACAATTAGTTTAAATAAAAAAATATAGAAATTAAAATATTACACTTAAAGCAAGGCAAACTTCTCTAACTAGGCTATTCCCCCCGGGGGGGAAGAACTTCTCTAACTAGGCTTGATGGACATAGTGGAAGTGGATGAGTCATGAGTCATACAGGATAAGCATGGAATTTGGAAGGAGGAGTTTAGCAACAAGATTATCAATGTCCCACCTTGCAGAGATTATAGTTATTATAGATTTATGCAGGACACACGGCTAGAGAAAGGTGGCCATTCACTCTGATTGCATGGCTGCCGTTAATCTGATTCAAAGACGCTGCGAGGATAATCGCCCATTTAGAGATATTGTAGTAGTTGCACGCATGTCGGTTTATAGACATTAGTCTCTTCAGTTTAATCATTTGATTGGAGAGAAAAATCTGTACACTCATTATTTGGTTATGTTCTCTCGCTGTTAGTTTTTACGGCTTTGACCGTTCGCCATAATGGAAACTCCCCCAAGACTTTTGACTGCTTATGACTTGTTTAATTAATGTATATTTCAGTTTCAATTTAAATAAAAAAGACTTCTCTAACTCGATATTAGAGCGCGAGTGAGTAAATAAGCTTATGTGCTAATTGATTATTTTTTAATCTTTCATAGTAGAATTTAGATCAGACTCTCGTATTGATTTTTCTTGAAAAATTGAAGTTGGCATTTTGTACTGGAAATTATGGGAAGTCAAGAACCATCACATTTTTTTCCCTGAAGAAACCTTTACTGTTGATAGCATTTTATCTAATGTTAAAGTTTTAATTGATCATATCATCAGAACTTAACTCCACTTATAGAATTCTAATAATTTTGCTTTTCCTTTTGCTTTGCTTGAAGCGCTGTATAGTTTGCACTAATAAAATTTCCTTTCTACTCAAAAAATTATTTGGGAAGGGAATGTCCAATCCTTACACCTTATATAAATAACGTTTTTTTTTTCCTGTAATATAAACAATGCGTTATACTTTCCGTCTTATAAAAAGAAACAACAAATTATCACATCTGAATATCAAATTTTGGAAAGTAACTATGAAATTCTTGCATCTAAACATATTGACTAAACAAGTTTCTCAAATATTTGATCTTAAAATTTAGAACATAATATCCAGAGTCAAAATTTAAAAGGCACCTTTGTCATTTTTACACCTAAATTTATTGGTTAAATAATTTGTGTTCAATCTCTTTTATTAACATTAAAAAGATGAATTGTGATATTTCAAGCCTGTACCTTAACAAGCGAAAATCTTCAACTATAATTTCACAGTATTTCAGTCCTAAACCCAAAATCTAATTTCCCCAGTCGCCCTGGATATTATCATATTACCATTCATTCATCCATGCATGATGCCAGCCTGCCAGGAGATAATCAGCTCCGTCAGTCCAGTCACATGACAAATCAGAGTATCGGACGTTGAAAGACTCGCAATGCTTGCCTTCCTCACTCACTCACTCTCTCTGATCCGATTCGAACTCTCATCGAGATGCTCGTGGATATAGACATAAAAGAGCTCTAATTCTGCTGCTTTTCCTCCATTTCTTGTTTGCTAACCAGCAACCATGTCCAGCCTCACTCATGCCACTTTAGCTCTTCCTCCCAACCCAAAACCATACTCTGTTTGGCACAACTCTCTGTTAGTAGCGCTCGCTTCCTCCACAACTCTTACACACCTCAAACAGATTCATGCTCAAATCCTCAAGTCTAGATTTGATCGCTCAAATTCCCTCCTTCTCAAGCTTGTCCTTTCCTCTTGTACCCTGTCCTCCTCCGGACTCGACTATGCCCTCTCTGTCTTCTGCCAAATTCGAAACCCAGAAGCCCGTTTTTGTAACAGAGTCTTGGGTGAATTTTCTCGCGGTTCCAAGCCGGAAAAGACCCTTTTGGTGTATGAGAAGATGAGGAGAGATGGGTCGAATTTAGACAGGTTTAGCTTCCCACCACTGTTGAAAGGGGTTTCAAAAGCTTCTGCCTTGAATGAGGGATTGGAGATTCATGGGCTTGCTTCAAAGTTGGGTTTTGATTCTGATCCATTCATTCAGACAGGGCTGATTGGAATGTATGCGGCATGTGGGCGGATTGTAGATGCACGTTTGCTGTTCGACAAAATGTCTCACCGGGATATTGTGACATGGAATATTATGATAGACGGGTATGGCTTAATACGTTGCGTTTTCATTTGCGAGAACTTCACCCCTTTTGTATTTTGTTAATTATTCGTAGAGAAGATTGTTTCTAGTTATTTCCTTATATTTTCTTGCTCCGTTTTTTGGTTAATATTTTATGTTGTTTTCAATTCGCATTAAGTTTCACAACATGCCACTTCTTTCTCTACACTGTTCCAGCCATGGCATGAATTAACCTAAAGATCTTTGGTTGTAATAGGTATTGCCAGAGTGGTCTTTCTGATCATGTACTAGAGCTCTATGAAGACATGAAAAGCTCTGGTATGGAGCCAGATGAGATAATTCTTTGCAGTGTACTTTCTGCTTGTGGTCATGCTGGAAATTTGAGCTATGGCAAAACAATCCATGAGTTCATTAGGGATAACGATCTTGTTGTTGACTCTCATTTACAGAGTGCACTTGTCAACATGTATGCAAATTGTGGTGCAATGGATTTGGCTCAGCAACTCTATGATAAACTCTCATCAACACACTTGGTTGTTTCAACTGCAATGGTTTCAGGGTATGCAAAACATGGAATGGTTGAACATGCTCGCGCGATATTTGACCAAATGATTGAAAAGGACTTGGTGTGTTGGAGCGCAATGATATCTGGTTATGCTGAAAGTGATCAGCCTCAAGAGGCTCTTAACTTGTTTAATGAAATGCAGCAACGGGGAATTATACCTGACCATATCACAATGCTGAGTGTCATTTCTGCATGTGCTCATCTTGGCGCACTGGATCAAGCTAAATGGATTCATTTATACGCAGATAGGAATGGCTTTGGAAAAGCTCTATCAGTCAATAACGCATTGATAGATATGTATGCCAAATGTGGGAGCTTGCTTGGAGCAAGAGAGTTATTTGAGAATATGCGGAGAAAAAATGTGATATCATTTTCCAGTATGATCAATGCTTTTGCCTTGCATGGGGATGCTAATAATGCCTTAAACCTTTTCCACAGAATGAGGGAAGAAAACATTGAGCCCAATTGGGTTACATTTGTAGGCGTCCTTTATGCTTGCAGTCATGCAGGATTAGTTGAAGAGGCCCGGCAAATCTTTTCATCAATGATTAATGATTATGGCATCTCTCCCAAACATGAGCACTATGGTTGCATGGTTGATCTCTATTGTAGAGCTAATCTCTTGAGAGATGCTCTTGAGCTGATTGAGACAATGCCTTTAGCACCCAATGTTATAATTTGGGGATCCCTTATGTCTGCTTGTCAAGTCCACGGTGAGCTTGAATTAGGAGAATATGCTGCTAAACGACTTCTTGAGCTAGATCCGGATCATGATGGGGCCCTTGTAGTTTTGTCAAACATTTATGCCAAAGACAGAAGGTGGGAAGATGTTGGACAGATCAGGAAACTAATGAGACGTAAGGGTATTTCTAAGGAGAAGGGATGTAGTAGGATTGAAATGAATAATAAGGTGCATGAGTTCTTAATGGCAGATAGATATCATAAACAAGCTGATGAAATATATGAGAAGCTGGATGAGGTAGTGAGTCTGTTAAAGCTGGCTGGCTACACACCAAGTGCATCAGGCATTTTGGTGGATATAGAAGAGGAAGAAAGGAAGGACGTAATACTATGGCATAGTGAAAAGTTAGCACTTTGCTATGGGCTCATTAGTGGGAGAAAAGAGTCATGCATTCGTATAGTTAAGAATCTTAGAACATGCGAGGATTGTCATACCTTTATGAAGTTAGTTTCAAAGGTATATCAGATAGAGATTGTTGTGAGAGATAGGACTAGGTTTCACCATTTTAAAGGGGGTATTTGTTCTTGTAAAGATTATTGGTGACTTATTTTTATTATTAAACTGAATTAATAGTAAATGACAACCAAGTTTTTAAAAACCGGACTGATCATTGAACCGGACGAGGCACTGGTTCACGTTTCATTGGTTGAACCATGGTCGAACCGGGGTCAAACCGGTTGATATTAAATTAATATATTTTTAATTTATATATCATAATTAAATAAAAAATACATTTAAATATGCATTTTTTTCAAATATATATTATAGATGCTTGATAATATAATTTTTTTTATTGATAAATACATAATTAATATTAATTATAACTGAAGCTTTTCATTTAAATATCAAGAAAGATGTAATTTAATTTTAATTTTAATTTATTTTTTTATTTTTTTTTATTTTTTTTCGGTTCTTTCACGAGACCCGGTCCGGTTTTTGTCCGGTTTTCGACCGGTTTAACCGGTTGTTGACCGGTTCTCTGCTGACCGGTTTTTAAGGGTCGACCGAACCGGACCAGGAGCCGGTTCCCGGTTCAACCGGCCGGTTCGGTCCGGTTTTTAAAACCCTGATGACAACTACCTATAATTTCACTTTGTGATCTTAAATCCACTATATAATATATAATAACGCGCGCGTGCACACATCTCCAAAAGCAAGCCGGCGTTTTTGTTCAGTGCTTGGAGAAAACTTTCTCATTGCAACTCCTATATTGAGGTTATTTCTTCATCAGTGATTTCAGTGACTTTAGTTTTAAGGTGCATATTCTTGTTATGCAGTAATCAATCATTTGAGTTTGAAGCATAAAGTAGAATAATCAAGTTAGGGTATTCATTGCCAAAATATACACTTGAACATCTAAAAGCGAGAGGCAATTTGGAAAAAAATGAAAAGAAAGAGGGAAAAGAATTGAACCACTACAGGCTATCTGTTATGCGTAATCTCACAAGCAATGAGAATATAATATATGCCATTATCCGTTTCTGGCTTCAGGTCGGCATTTTGGCGCCATAATTTGCTGTTAAATCAGTATATCGATGGTCTTGAAAAGCAGCATATAGCCAAAAGTCCTTCTTCACTTTTCCAGCCGCTCTTGAAATCCTGTACTTGAAGAACTCTAATGCTGCTGAAAACAACCCTGTGTTATCAAAAACAAAGCTCCTCTTGTACTCCAGAACCCATGTATTGGAGTCTAATTGCACTACTGAGGCACCCCATTTTGGCTGTACCCAAGTAGCATTTGCTTTTCGAATCAAAAAGCCAACTTGTCCTGCATTCCACTGTTGAACGATGAATGGAGACTCAGGCAACAATAGCATATGTTTGACCAAAATCATTTATCAATTAAGAAGCACACATACTGACATTGAATCCAGAAAAGGCACAGTATCGAGATTACCTCCGTAACTCTTCCAGATAAGATAGTGAATGTTCGAGAAGAAAATCCGGTTGTGAGTAATCCTGCTGTCTGCAGAGGCCATCCCCAGATTGCCACCTCCTCTGCTGCTGATTTGTACAGTGTACAACGCGAGTTCAATAGAACCCCGTTCTAAAGGCAATTTTTGTGGTTGGTCAGCTATAATTTCTTACTTCTTAACATATAGATTTAGAATGCCACATTTCTTAAATTAGAAGGAAACTCGCTGTTCCTTAAGACATTGAGATTAAAATAAAAAACTATTCTGATGAATAATACCTGGCTGATTTCCCATAAAGAATTACCATAGCTGCAATTCTGAACCTTTCCAATAACAATATGTTGCAGCTCTCTCTGCAAAAATCTAAACTTTCCATTCAAATTCTGATCTACCGATGATTTCTCGCCAACTCTTTTCATTACATCCGGCGACAGAACAGGTTGAAAAATCCTAGAAACAACCAAGGTAAAAACAACCACCGTAAAAAAAAGCAAGCACAAACCCAGAACTAACCTAAAGAGCTTAACCCCAGAAAAATTCCGCTCTCTTTCCTTCTCATGTTTCATTTTTTCGTCCAAATTCACTCTGGCGTCAGATTTGACGGCAGGGGAAGGCGAAATGTGGGAAGCATTTGATGTGGGTGTGGACAAAATGGAAACGTCGAAAGAGATAGGGGTATGCTCAACATTAGGTCGGGGAGCAGAAAGCTTGGTGAGCGAGCTTTTCTGAATGCTCATAGGCACTCGGTCGAGAGTGGCATAGCTTTCCAAGCAAAATTTACAGTCGCAATTGGCGTCTTTGAGGCAATCCGGATAGTAGTAGCTGTCTCGATTTTCCGAAGATCGGTCGTGGTTTTCCATAGCCGATGAAGCAGTACTGCCAGTGCTTGATTTCGATTGGGAAGGGACGGTTCTCATGGCTTCTCTGTTCTGGTGCGTGCTTTCTCGTGAGAATTTCTCTCGTGTTTCTTTTGAAAGTTGTTTGGGCCTTTACCGTTGAGAGGCATTCAAAATTTGAAGCCCAACGGTCGTATTTGGTATGGCATTTTCCTCCTGAAATGTTCGACATTATGCAATGACAATAATGCCCCCATTGTTCATGTTACAGTTGCAGATGAACTACTTTAATCCAGTCTCATGGATGCAGTGAATTTGAGTTTATAGATATTGAGGCTTTTCACTTAAATTTTGTTAAACTTAAGTATGCAATAATTTCAAGAATCTAAAATAGCCTTAATTGAAGCTTTAATGGTGTGGGATCTAATGCCGTTATGACATGGAAGTTGAAGCTTGCTCAATTATTCCTCAAATTAAGTTTTTAACGTAGAACACAATCAATTTATAAATACCATTTTCATTGGCCTCTTTTCCAAGTCCAATTGCTTATATTGTTGATTAAAGAGATTAAAAGATTATCACTTCAAGTCAAGAGACAGCATAACAAATCAAATCGGGACATAATTAAACCTATAAAAAAAGATTGGTCAGAAATTGAATCATTTAAACCTTAGAAAGACAAGGTGATAGAGGATTTAGAGGTATATACTTACTCTAAACAAACGGGAGCTTGGCTCTTATTCTATCTTGACCAAAATACTTATTATTCTCTCTCTCCTACTTTCTCTCTTTCTCTTTCTATTTTTTTTTATTAAAGGACAATTTTATTCATTATTACCACAAAATTTTTTGAAATAAAACTAGGAAACTTCATTCACAAAAATGTAAACAGGTACAAATTAAGAAGAAACAACAAACAAAGAGAAAAAACGCAAAAGGACCCCTTAAAGAAGTATAATGAAACTTAATAAGGAGGTTTTTGAAACAAATTAAAATTGCAAGGAATATTATGAGCCAACTTAGCCAGATAGTTGACAATCCCATTCTCATCTCAATACAAAAAATGAAGGTTAACAGTCCAATTCCTATGTAAAAGTCTCCTTGTAGCCTGAATGATATCACAAAAGGAATTATAGACGTGGTTGTCTCGTGTGATAGTTGAAATGGCATATGCACTATCACAAAAGACTTTTACAGCTCTAAACTCCTTTTTCCAGCATAAATCCAATTCATAAAAAATCCCATAAATTTCAACAATGCCAGCAAGTACATGATCCATCTTCATATTAAAACTGAATTACCAGTAGCATCTCTTAGAAGTCCACCACATGCACTATGCCCATTAGCAAGAACGGACCCATCCATTTCCACTCTAATGCTATCTGCTCTTGGATGATGAGATGTAACATCCCAATTAAAATCTTATTAGTTAATTTAGGTTAATAGAAATTTTAAAAAATATTTAGAGATAAGTAAATTATTTGGGTGATAATTATTGGACTAATTTAAGATAAAAAAAGAAAGAAGGAAGAAGGAATTAAAAAAAGTGGGAAACGAATATATATATCTGTTGTTGTCAATAGGTGTAATGTGTATACATATTGATAAATGATAATTTTATATATGTTTATTCTTTTAATTTAGACTTTTAAATATTTATTTGAAGTTAATTGAGTTTAATTGATCATTATTTAATTTTATTAGCCAATCTTTAACTTTTAAATTTTAACTATCTAAATCTTGAATTTTAAAATATAAATAATGTCTTTGATATTTTTGTATAGTTACTATTTTATTTTATTTTATTTGTACAAATCTTCTAAATTATTGGACGAGATGGGTGAATACAATCTCTTGGTAATCAAATTACATTTATTTTATGCAGTTGTATATCAATCGACAAAACACTTACATAAGAGTTGGATACTCAAAACTTATGTCTGCACATAACACAAGAATATTACAATTACACCATTTACTTGTTATCAATTTTTTTCCACAAAATTATATCATGAGACACGTAACTACAATATAGATAACCATATGATAACAATTCAATCAATAATGATGATGCACATTACCACAATACATACAACTATGTGACATATAGTGGCACAATTAACTATAACGACTTATCACAAACTTAACTAACCATGTGGAGATATAAATCTTCATAACCTTCTTATTTTCTCTGATCGAAACTGTGGATTATAATATAAGTTAGGACTCTATTCATGTGATTGGACTATTCAAACTCACTAATTATGAGGAGTAACCCGGTCAAAGATCACTACACTCACTCTTAAACTACAGCTTCTTCCATTCCCAAATCTTTAGGATGTTGTATACCCTAAGTTAGTCTTCTTAACAAATAGGTAGAGATAGATTCAAGTCCCTTGACAAATTAGAGTCGGTAATTCGGGCTGGTCAGACTTATTGGGTTCAGGTCTTGAAATATCCTACCCTTTCAAAAAAGCTCATATAGCGAAGCCCAGCCCTAACTTTTTTCTATCAGGTTTAGGCTGACCTGTCAAGCTTGGCCAAAATTACCAACTTTATATACACATAAGGTTAAAAATTTTAGAGGTCAGACTCAATTCAGGTCAGGCTTATTTAGATCGGGCTTAAAGCATCCTATCCTTTTTAAAAAAGCCCATATAGCAAGCTCGGCCTTAACTTTTTTTGAGTAGATTCAAGTTTGGCCTGAATTATCGGCTCTACGACAAACTATAAGACAATTCCTCTACAAATAGTGGGACAAGGCTAGCCTTCATGCATCGAAAGGCTACCATAAGAATCATATGGATTCTTCTAATCCTTTCCTTAAGCGAATTCTTGCCAAATAATCATTTAATGTACAATGCTTAGTCATTTCAAAGTTTCATGAATAAATGACTCATTTAGGTCACAATCACAATCTAACCCATGTGAGCATCTGTAATACTTTCATAATTAGTTTTTTTCAAAACTCACATGCACAACCTCCATATCACACATCTATCAAGTCAACCTATAATATACATTTTCCACGTCATAATATAATCACTTTCATTCACCAGTTTTTCATTGCATTGCAAAAATCACATGAAAACTTTTCAAATTCAATTTCATCATTATAACTAAATTAGGTTTAGTAAAGCCTTATAGAATTTTTACCATAATAACAACCACGATATTCAACCATTCCAATCAATTCATCCATTTTTTAAAACATAAATCAATTAACAAACAATTACACAAAATATGTTTTCCTTAGTTATCTCAAACCTTTGATAAATCAAAGGTTTGCCCTTCAATATATGCTTCCAAGCTTTCTCTTCAAGCTAATTATGATGCAAGGATAATTAATCTACAATTAATCAAGTCTAAATTCACCAACATTGCTAAATATACACCTCCAACTATCATTTTCTATTTTTAAAATATCCAAAACCCTTATTTCTCATATTTAAACATATCCATTGGATGTATTAACTTTCTTTGGCCCCCATTAGTTTCATTAATACGGTTAGTGATGTCTCCCAACAACCTCATAATCTATAGTTATTGCTCATTTTTTGGACATTAATGGCTCTTAATCACATTAATGTATAAACTCATAATTTGTAGGTTTAAATATTTAAAATAACTCCCATTAATTTTATTTGAGTCAATGGGTTTGGATTCATTATTAATATGGATTGAAAATAGTCTCTCATCATTAAACCCTAACAAGAAAACTTGAGAATATGGGTTGGGAAGGAAGAAGAACAAGTTAGGAGATTTATTCTTAAGGTTTGGTAGCTTCAAAATGTTCCAATCTTTCTCTAGAAGAAAACCCCAGCAGAGCTCCTTATTGTTTCTCATGCCTTATTTCTACAGAAAATAGGTCGTGCGCCATATCACACATCACACACACCGTGACATGTGATATAAAGAAGATTGCTTCATGTTTTCTGGTCTAATACGCCACAACATATGGCACAAAGGCTTCTTCCTTTGCTTTCCTCCACTTTTGATGCTCAAGTGACCTTATTTTACTTTAAGCCCAAATTTAAAATTGAAATCACAATCAAAAAAGTTATTAATCCTTTCTAACCACACACCATGCAAGTCTTAAATAATTACTCCTAATTAGGTTGATTAGTAAGGAGTTAATTTTTCATGATGTTACAATTCTTGTCTTCCCAATTGAGCCATTTTTATCTAGATTTTTGATACTCAAGTAGCTCTTCTTGAGCCAAAACTTCATTATAATCTTTATAAAGGTCAGCTTCTATCTATTGAAAATATTGTGTGTCCTTTTATTACTACAAAATCAGTACACATCTGAAAAGAGGCTTAATAAAGTGATTGAACCAATTTTCTCTTTCTTTTTTATTCATACAAAATTCAAGATAAATGAATTTAAAAGAATCACAAGCACTTTGAGGTTATGTTGGCACAATGTGAATAAATATGAAACCGTTTTTGCCCACATTTATTGTCACTTTGACAAAAGCAAAGGAAAGAAGAAGCCAACTCCTACTATGTAGGCTGGCATCAGCACCACTCATGGCAATCCATCTCCTTGTAGACTATGGAAACGTCTTTATCGCAAATTATTCTTTTTTTTTTTGGCATTATGTCATCAATAATCTTAAACCTTAGAAAATCCAACTACCCTTGTTTATTTTAGCATTCAATAATCCTGTAAATTTAACTTTTTTTAATAAAAAAACTCCAAGCTATAAGGAGTTTCATTTATTTTACTACTAATGTTTATATTATTGTTACATGGATTCATTATAATATTGTGTCAGGTGCACGAATTATGCCTGAAAATGTTGAAATCATAAGTGGGGCTTCATTTAAAGAACGATGTGGAAGGCATAGAGTTCCCAAAAGAATGATAAATGTTGGGGCCCAAATAATGAAAATTTGGTAAAAGAGATGACACATGCAAAGTTGTTTGTTGCAGTTACCCTTGGCAAGCGGCGCACACAAATATATATATATATATATATATATATATATATAACAAATAGCGTGTCGTCAGTAAATGAGACATGATAATTTCTAGCACCATCTCTCCTCTTCCTGTTCATGTTCGCACACTTGCACGCACCGTCTTTCACTGCATTCATACATGATTAAATAATTGTCAATAAAAATAATCCCTAAAATTTTATATACTTCTCTAATCTTATTTATAAATTATTTTTAATATATTTTATTAAAATTAAAAAAATATTAAATTTTATTAACTTTATCTTAAAATTTAACAAGTTTTTACATTTACTTCTAATAAATATTCTTAAATTTTATTACTAATATTTTTATTTAAAGCATTTAATAAAAAAAATTGTAAAGAGAAGCATTAAAAAATGACACATGACCTATAAATAAGATTAAATTTTTTCATCTTTCTTTACCCTATAAATAAGATTGGAGGAGTGTTAAATATTTTTTATAAAGTATCTTTATTTCTTTTTATCAGTCACTTTATAAATTTGTTATAACATCAAATATTTTTTATATACTCTCTCATATCCCTGTTATAATACACTTTCAAATACTACATCATTAGAACTAAAGAGTGATAGTTAAATTATTAACTTTTTTTCTAAAAATAAAATAACCTTATAATTTTACTCCTATTTAAATAAAAAAATTTAAATTTGCATTACATTCTCTTTGATAGTTAATGAGTTTAAATATAAGTAATATTATAAAAAATATAATTAATACCTTATAATGTGCGTTATATTAAAGACCAAAAAATGCTTTAAGAAAATGCCATATAATGGAGACCAAAGGTAGTATGTATTATACTAAAAACTATGATATAGAAGTTGGTGAGTGTAGAAATTAATTTAATTAATATGGATACTATTAAAATTTATTTTAATTTTATGACAACTTTAATGCTTTTGTTAGCCTTTAACCACTTTTTTATATGTATGGATTAAGGGTGTTTACTGGACGAGATAAAATTGAGATCGTCCTGTTCTGTATTCCATCCCAAAAAATAATTAAAATTAAATTTTTATTTCATATCTCATTCTATCTTAAAAGTTATCCCGTAGTTTTAAGAATTGAGATGAGACTAGGAAGTCCCACCATCATGATAAAATAGACAATGTAAGAGAAAAGTTTGAGTATAATATTCATTAATTAAATTTTTAAATCATGTAACTTATTAAGTTTAAAACTAAAATAATACGAATAAATAAATTATAACAATTATTGAATTACATCAATCACAATTACAAATGTATAACTTAAAGTCATGTATATATGAGACCTAACATATTATGATAATAATTATAAATGATCTTTTAGTTATAAGAGCAGCAATAACAAACAACCCGGCATAACATTAAGTTATTGTTCTTTTTCTTTAGTTGACATATGTTAAGCTAGTTACTTTTTCAAAAATAAAATAAAAAATATGATATAAATAAAAGTTATTAAATAAGTAGTTATAAGAATAAATTATATTAACCTAATTAATATATTATAAAAAAGATATTAACATGTATTGCTTAGTCTGTATCATTAACATTATCAATATAAAAAAATTTAATTTTAAATATGAATATCACGTATTGAAGTTATATTTAATATAAGTATAAATTATGTTAAAATAATTAATATATTTAATTTATATTTTTAAAATAAAAAATAATATATATATATCTATATAATATTCGAGACTAAATGAGGCATTTCAAGGGCAATCCTATGTCTCATCTCCTCCCAAATTCCTTGCCCCTTTCATTCCGCAAGGTCCTGTTTTGATTATTTTTGAGTCGAGATATGACCTGTCCAGTTACAGTTGAGATGTAACCAGGTCAATTAAGATAAGTATAAATTGAACACCCTTGCGCATGAGTTAGTCAAAACTTAAAAGTTGACTTATATTTATAATTAAGGGAGTTCATTGTTATTTCTAAATTATTTATTTACTCGTGAATTTCTATTTTTATTTTTTGCCCTTTCTTTTTGATCTTGGTTACACGTATTGACTTACATTCGTTAATTATTTAATCAAGAGGCATGAATCCCAATTAACCATACGTTCACATCAATCTTTTCATTGTAAAATAATATGAGCATTAAACAGAATATCAATTGTGAGCAAGGTTTGCGCTGGACTCAAGTTTAACATGACAGGACCGCCAAATTAAAAGCAAGTTAATATTGAGTTGTGTGTTTCTTTTCTATTTACTCAACCACATTAGCGTCCTAACCACTCAAATTTTTCTTCCTTTGGGACAACGGATCATGCGTACCTCAATTCAAGTATGGCCATTGCATCGTCCACTTAAAGCAAATTATCATGATATTCCCTAGATACTAAATACAATCGATCTACGTTGTATTTAGTACATAAAAAATTGATTGAAACTTATGTTTGGTCTTTTATCATGAATATTTTTTTTTCTTTGTTTAACCATCAATATATGTTATTGCCCAATCATTATCATTATTATATTAAAAGGTATATTAATTAACAATAAACCTCATGGATAATAAATTAACAGAAGGGAATTATTAAAAATAGTCTCGTGATCTGTGAGGATTAAATCAAAGATGATTTTTAAAGATAAACAAATTAAAAAAAAGGCTGTAGAAGATCTTGTTAGAACAATAATTCTACGTACCAATATGATTAAATGGAAACCTACTTCATGTGAGGGCGATTAATTGAAAAAAGGGTTTTATTTTTTTTAATTAAGAATAGAAAAATATGGTTACCCGGGCCATAGTTAACTTTGCAATGGAAGTTTTCATGGAGGGGGAAAAAAATCTCATTTTAGCTTTAGAAGTTGAGGTTTTTGGGATATAATTAAACAGGTGGATGTGGAATGACAAGTTGACTATTGCTGCAACTTCATTGGTATTAATTTAGTCAGATTCTCATATATGTATATGTTGCTGCATTTTATTTGAATCTGTCTTATAAATAATACCAATAACATAACAACAGGGTCATCAGTGAGGAACTCAAATTCTCCATGAATCTAATATGTCCAATATATAATTTTCAAATTTCTCCATAACCTTATGAAACCAAACGGATTTCACAACTTCTAATCTTACTTCTCTGACTCAATATATCATTCACCACCATATCTCAGGTCATTTGAAATCCTTGAAGGAGACACAAAATGATAAATTTCAAAGAAGGAATAAGACTCACGGCTTATTCTATCAGCAACATGCAAAAAGAAAGGCCATAACTAATATTCTGCTTTAAATTAAGTTCACTACATATCTTATATCTGAAGGAGAATGCAGGCCTACGTCGCGTTTCATACGTTTCTTCTCCTACCAAGTCATGATATAGATCATTGATTAGAAGCAGAGTGAAACCAGAAGAGGTAGATGCTTCATCTGAATGATCAGTTACACCCTGTACAGGACAAGATGAAAAAAGTAGCATAGCTAGCTAGACAAGGGGGTTTAAATTAATAACGATACCTAACAGGTTTATTAATTCCAAATTCAAACCCCACAACAGTCTTAATTAGAAAGTGAAGGTGGAAGAATCTCCGACTTGGGACGTGCTGGCTGCCCTGGAATACTTCCTTGAAGACGGCGGAGCTGGTGATGATGATGATGATGATGAGAAAGACAAGTCGCTTGATCTTCTCCGAAGAATCTGTCTCATGCCGTCGGCCACGCGCACTGCCGGGTTGGATTTGAACTTGCGACAGAAGGACATGTGAGCTTTGACAGCTTCTTCCATGGCGGAAATGGGCTTCTTCCCCCTGCTCGCTTCGTCTCTGACGGCTTCAGAGCACAACCCACAGAGCCATTTGTCCTCAAATTTGGCCTTGACCTGGCCGATGTAGTCCGGCGTGCAATCCTCTTTCAGCCCACAACACTCGCACTTGACGGATTCAATCTCCATCTCTGTGTGTGTGTGTGTGTGTGTGTGTGTGAGCGCTATTGGGAATGAGCGAAGCTTGAAAGCGTGAAATGAAACGAGACGAGTTTGAGCAACAAGGTGGGGAGAACAAAAGGAAGGTTTCGGTTTGGCTGCTCTGTTTGTGTTGTTGCTCTGCTTTTTCTCACTTGGGAGGGATTGATGGGCTTATTTATTGCTTCAAGAGCTAGCAAGTGATCGTTGTTCCATATGAGGGCTTTTATGGAGTGTGGGATCAGGAAAACGAGGACTTTTCTTTTTCTTTTCTTTGGGGTCAATAATAGGAAAAATGACAAAAAAAAAAGAATAATAAGAAAAATGAGGAATCCATCTTCCTATATTTAAACTATGGAATGAAATAATTAGTATTACCATATCATTTCTAGTTGTTTTTTAAAAAAATTACTCCTAATCTAACTCTTTTTTATAAGATTGGGAAACTCATACACTCACACACACGCACACGAACATGAAGTTTAAACTTAAGATTTCTTAAAAGAAAAGAAGAAGAAGAAGTAACATTACCACTTGAATAATTAATAGTTAACACATCACTTCTAATTATTATTATGCCAATTAGCATCAACTCAAATGAGATAGTAGTAGTAGTAATAATACTCTTTTTTTTATTATCAGTAATGGTTTCTTAAGAAAAAAAAATTACTTGTTTGTTTGAAAATATAATAATAATTCTCAAAGCTTTTAACATCATAGAAGTATAATAAATGTTTTTTTTTCCAAGATGAATCATGCTTTTATGGGGTTTATTTCAACACTTATACAATAATGAAATTAATATGGATATATTTTAATATAGAGTAAGTATAAAATGTAGACAAATTTAATGGAAGATTGAAAAAGAGGTCCATAATTGGGTGCATGTTGAAAGGGAAGCGGAAATGAGTGAGAGGAAACCCTCAACTGCTGCTTTCTTCCAGCACTCAAGACTTGAATGCAAACATCCGTGCTGGCTTCCCTTCCCAATTTATGTGGGGGCCACTCAGCTGTTCACATTCATGCTATTAATCTCTCATTTATTCTCTCTCCGTCTCTATTTTTGTTTCCTTGTTCTGTCCATTTGTTTCATTTCATGGGTGACCCTACACACCTAATTCTCTCGCCTTCCTCGTTTTGTAAAATTATCGTCTCAACACTCTCAAGTCTGTCTTAAGCTATCACTCTCCTTCAATTTCTTAATATTATCCATCATTATTTTATTTTATGTTTGGGATGGCTTTAATTTAGGCTTTGTATATATGTATTTACAACTCATCCTTTGTTCTTTAATGAAATTAGATTTTTTTTAATAAGGTATATAGAATAATAAGAATGATAAGAAATAAGCATACTCACAGCACATGGCAAGGTAAACTTCTAGGCTGGTCTGATTAACTACTTTAATTTGAACGAAAAGTTTAGTTTTTGACTATAATCACTTTCTAATCCATGCGCGTCGATCACTTTTGAATTTGCTTAGGTATCACATTCATCCCCACAACTAATGAAAAAGTTCTTTACTTTATTGACCATGGGCCTCACTCCCCTGCGCTTTCATTTCATAGATTCATGTTTTTCAGTTGTTAGAAATTTCAACATATTATTATATAGACTGTTTATAATTTTTTTTTTGGTTGCTGAAATTAAATACATTTAAACACAAACAACATAGTTTTGAACTTTTGAATGCATAAAGGTGTTTATTTCCTTGATAAACTTAGTTAAATTACTGAATTGAGTCAAATTGCATTTGAACTAATTCTAAGAGTTATCTTGACTTATCAATTGAACCTTACTCGGGTATTATTTTAATACAGATTTAAATTTTAAGTAATTATTTTCAAATTAAATCAAAACAAAATTAAATTCCCGAAAGTTAAGCTTGACCATGTGCATCCTTAACATTTCACATATATTCATATGATTAGTTATTACCTTTCTTTTGGCGCGGACCTCTACATTGATCACTTGTGAAAATTAAAGGAAGATGGAGAGAAAAATGTAATATTGAACTCTAGGGATGCAAGTGTCCGATACATAAAATCGCTTTATCTTATGTTGTACCACTCTTTTCGAATGCGTATTCTATATTTATTTTTGTGAATGGAAAGATTCACAAGCTCTTTTTTAATGTATGTAGTGTATGAAAAATATATATTTTACTACTTATAAATTATAAATAACGTGATTTGTTTTAAATTTTATATTAATATCGATCATACAGAAAATTTTATGATTTGCCAACTTTTTTTCCTCGAACGATAGCTATTAAATATCAAATACTGTCATCCCTAACAAGAAAAGTATTGGTGAGTAATTACTAATAACCTTAATTAGAAAGGTCCGCCCACCCATGTATAATTGCACAAAATTCATATCTATCTAATTATTGCTAGAAGGTTATATCCATTATCCATTGATTGACAACCTCGATGTGTATGTTTTTGTTTGGATGAAATAATACATGAAGAAGACAAGCACAGAATTTTTACTGAATCCTCATGAAATTTAGTGGCCGGCGATATTTATGAGACGCAAGATCATACACCCTGAACCCAAGACATGACTACCCAATACAGTGCCAGAATTTTCTACTGTGTGTCTTCCAATTATACAAAGACTTTGTCGCTCGTGCCCTTTTGTCTTTTGCTTTGCCCTTTTTCTGAGGAAAGAAGGTATCTTCTGGTCTTAAAATCTGTTCTCGAATATTGTTACTTCGCTCCCAAGAAAACACACTGTGTTGCCTATTCGTCTTTTGGCCTATATATATATATATATATATTTTTTTTTTTCCTTTTTATTTAGAGAAATTAACTGAATGGCCTTAAAAAATATAATTTTTATAAATTATAAATAAAATTTTTAAATATTTTAGAATATAGTTCATTTATAAAATTAATTAGATATGTTTTTTTATCTTTAGAATATATTTATTATTAAAACAAAATATATTTAATTTAATTAATCTTTAACTGATTGGATCTTTCATTTTTATTATCAAAAATCATATTGTGCGTACTCCCTCTCTAATTTATCATCTTTGAATATTTTCTTCATCAATTTTTTGGATCTGATTTTTTGGATCATCATATTTATCTCTTGTACAGTACTCTTCTTCATCAAAATTTTTGATCTAATTTGCTTGGATCACCATCTTCATCGTGAAACTTTTCCCCTCTCTCCCTCTCTATTTTTCCTAGATATTAATATTATGAAGAGAACATTAAATATTGAAAAAAAAAACTCCATTACTGATCTACGATACTATATCATTGATGTACGACTATATATCAATGATAAGTAAATTGATAAGTTTTCGCTGATATGGCTTAATATTAGTGATATATAATAATATATTACTGATATACTATCGTAAATCAACATAACTAGACAATCAGACATAAATTTGTTTAGAATTGATATACAGTCGTATATCAATGCTATAGTATTGCAGATCAGTAACATGAAAAATACATAATTATTTTCTCAAAATAAATTAAACAAATCTCAGGAAATCCTCACTTGAATTCTAGCTCTTGTAACAGAGTCTGACCGAATTTCCTCACCTTGAATTTGCAGCTTTAGTGTGGCTTTGTGTAGAAGCTGCAATTTCGAACTTCCTCACCTTGCATTCATGATTTTTCAACCTGAATTTGTAGCTTCCAGTTTGCCTCGCCCCATGTTCTTGTGGTCTCCTGGCTGAATTTCTAACTCTGTTTATCTATCGGTGTGAGCTATTTCATTGTTTACTGTTAGTTTCTCTGCTGTCGTGACTAAGAGTGCAATGTCGTCTCCATGTTTTCAAGTCGATGAAAGCAAAACCAGTGTGAAAAAGGAGAATTAAGGTATTGTGATGTTTAAGGGCAATTTTACCTTTTGTATCAAAAGTAAATTAAAAAACAACCATTATTTTAATTTAAAAAAAGTGAGTTATTAATTTTATTTAATCATATAATATTGACTAAATTTGTTAAAGCTCCTTCTATTTATGGGTGAAAATGCAAGGTTGAAACGGTTAAACTCACTTCAAATTCAGATTTTCATTTCAGGCTCTTCATTATTCCTCTTTTTGTGTATATGAATAATGATAGAAAGAAAACATAGAGTAAACGGAAGAAGAGAAAGTGAATTCTTTATATTTTTTATTGTGAGCACATAGGGAGCAGGGTTTGCCGACAATTTTTTTTTTTTGAGACAGTGAGGATAAATAATAAAGTTTTTTTTAACTAAATTACTATATATACAAAGAGTTAGAATTTATAGATTTTTACTCACTATGTCATTTTATTTTCAAGCATTTGATATATTATTATAGAAGATAGATGTCAATAAGTTTTTGAACTACCCCCTTTAGACCATAATATAAATTATTTTTTTTAAATTTTACTTGATTCAAAAATATAGGACATTGGATTGGTGTTTTATTTTTTTCAATTACAACCTTACTTTATTGAGTAATTAATGAGGGTGTTATTAATAAATCAAACATTATATTTATTATATTTAAGGCGAATGATTGGAAATATGTGTAAATTTTTAGAAAATTAAGATTTTAACTTAGTATTTTTTAGAAACATAAATTAGTTAATGTTGTTTGATGTTGTGATCTAAAGGAAATACTTTGATTTTCTTGTAGTTTGACGCCATACTTAGGAAATTATAACATCACTGAAACAAACTACTAATAATTGAGGAAGACTGTTAAATTTTTCTGCAAATTAAATTAATCTTGCCAGTGTGTAGTCTGGAACAGCCTCGCCTTGATCCCATCCTCTCATTCTTCAACGTTGCTTTCACACCAACAATGTTGCATCTCATCTTGTTGACTTGGCTTCCCATGCATGTATGGTTCCCTTCAATTTTGGACACGTGGAAAATCAATGTTATGTGCTTAAAATCTTGAACTCTTCAAGGAAACAGATTGTATCTATAATAAATTAGTCAAATTAATCATAAATGACCACGTCGGATATAGGTTTAACAAAAGCCACGTTTATATCTGCTAATTTAATCCGTTTATATTTCTTGAAAAGAAGTGAAAATCAAAGTTAATAATGAATGTTATGTTTCTTGGAAGGATGAATAATTTCATGAAACTTCACATAATTATTGAACCACATTAAGGGCCCCTTTATTTAAAATTAAAAAATAAGTGATTTTTATATAGTTTAGAGATTTTATAAAAAAAAAATTATTTTGTAGAGATTTTATAAAGAGTAGATATTATCTTATATTTGGTTACAATAATAAAAAATATCATTAATTAGTTATTTTTAAATTTTATGATATTTTTGTGTATCTTGCTTTTTTAAAACATTCTCTCTTATTTATTGTATTAGATTATTTATAGAAGTTATTCAATATAGCCTCTTAAAATAACTAAAAATCTGTTTTTTTTTTCAGATTCTAATTATTTTTGAAAGTTTAAAACAAAGATAATAGAAACTCAAAAATTAAATTTAAAAAAATTATAAACAATTTTTCCATGAAATGCTTAAAACAAACGGCCCTAAATAAAGTGAATTAGGTTTATGATACAGGAAAAGTCATAATTGAAGCGAGTCAACGAACAATAATAATTCTATTTACTGACTGATAATAATAACTTGATGACCCCTTTGTTTGTTAACCAATGCTTGAACTTCAAATCATATTTATTTTTAAATTCAAATCTCAACTTGGTTACCTGTCAATCAATAAATATATGATCTAAATTTGTTGTCATTTCCCACCTATCTTATTTCTTGATTTTAATTTTTTGTTGTTGCTTTTTACTCACCAAGAAAACGCAAAAACAGAAAACTGCCAAATTTGCCAAATTTGAACATGGATCCAACATAAGGTACAGGGACTAACGCAACTGATTAACAGTAATCTTAGGCCCTTCCAAACTAAAGAAATCAAACTATTGTGTTCAGATTGATTTGTTTCAAACTGAGACACATAATAATAAAAGGACCCTGTAATCGGACCAAACCCACGTTTGCATTATTAAAAAGCTCATCACTAAAAAGTACAACTCTATACTTGAAACATGCAGAAGACACAATTGCACCAAGGGTATGATTAGATTGAAGAAAAGAAAGGAGGAGCCATGGACACACCCAGGAAAGAAAACTGATGAATGCGGTCAAACTTGAAAAAACTAGCCAACATAGGAGGGTTGGGTTTTTGTATGTTAAGGAATACCAAGTGGCAAAGACGAGACATTGTCGTTTCTGCTGATAGGAACAGCTTTTGTACATTCCTTGTAGGTCCACAGACAAGGCATGGCCATGCATGTGAGGTTTGCTTAGATTGAAAGGGTATTATTTGCCAGTTTCAGTGCGCAGCCACGTAAAGACACTGTATCATTCTCAGAGTTATTCATTCCAAAACATAGAATAGCCTGTCTGGTTGGCCTCCGGCAATTCCAGTGGCCACAAAACAAGTGTTTCCCGATAATGTCTTAGGGTCATAGGCTAGTCCAGATTAAGATCACCATGATATCAGAAAATTTCTCATGTGATTCTGGGAAACTGGATATGATGCTAGGAAATCAGTCTACGTCTCTGCGTTTCTTGTTGGACCAAACTGTATTTAAAGCTTTCAGATTCATTTGCCTATCAAACTAATGGCTGAAACCCTAAAGTTCTGATCTTGCTTTCCCAGACGCCAGCAGAGTTTTCACTCTGCTCTTGTTTGTTTCTGCTATTACTTGATTGTTTTGTGTATAGTTTGGTTATGATGTGAATCTAATTCCTCATGCAACAATTTTGTAACCACAGAATAGTTCAACTTGACATTAGTGCTCACATGGCAATGTCCTGTTCTGTTCCATCTAAAATGGCATTTGGATTACTCCTCCTGATGTATATAACTAGATTTATCTTCTATCACAATTTTCTTTAGCTCTATTACTATATATATTATTCTTGACTTCAAGGGGTCAAACAATTCTCACATGGGTTTTGTTTGGGAGTACGTTGAAGAATATGTCTGTTTTACAGAAATTAATGCCCTTCACATGGCAATTCACATGCATTTTCTTGCACTTACGGATTCTTAGTTTCTTATCTTCCCACTCAACGACTCTCTCATTTCCCATCTATTATACCAATCATTTAGTACCTGCTATACCATACTATTCTGTCTTAATATTATCCTTAACATTTTATATCAGGCTGAAATGAGTGGATAAGCTTCCATACAGATAAGTTATAGCCACAAACCTCCAAAGCAATCATCATTTTTGCTTTAATCTCTTTCTCCATCATCACTAGCGTTCTCATTGTCTTCGGAAAATGATAAAGGCGGCAACCACCGCCATTATCAAATGAAAACTGGGTTTGCACTTTGGAAAAGGCATTTGTAACACTTGTAAAGAAGTGATGCTTTAAAGCTTATATCTTTCTTCGATCTTTGCCATTCTCATTCTTTATGACTGTATCAGAAATAATATCAACATTAATATTGTTCCTGAACTTTTCTCTGATTGTTTGATCGTTCGAGAAAATTAGTTTCATGACAGTTTGAGAAGCGTTTTCCAAAATTTTGTTTAAGGCTGACTTTAACAAATAACTGGAAAAAAAAATCTAAAAAAGATGACAATCGCTTTTATTGAACAAAATATTGTGGGCATTCATAATGTAATCAAAAGATCTGTCTAACATCATTGATTGTTTAGAGGTGAATCTCTGCTATATTTTATCAACTTGGCTATCATGTTGCCAATATATATCCTCAGTAAGAAATCAAATAACCAGAAGGTTTTATTGGTGATGGGATTCTGAAAACTTCTATATTTTTAGGAAATTCTTAGATAGATTTATTCTATTGAAAATTCATGAAGAAGCTAGATTGTGTATATATGAATACACTTCTCAGAATGATTCGCCCCAAATATTTATTTATATTTTGTCACGTGGGGCCTATTTTTGCCAATACCTTCAGATAAATCAGACAACTAGGATCTGTTATTAGCATTTGCTTTAATTTACCCCGCGTGGCGTATTTCTTTTAATGCTTTCATTCCCCCCAATATGAAAGCTTTTTGCACAGAAGAATGTCAACCGGTATGACCTAATCAATTTACATTTAGAGTCCCATGGAACAGAAAAAAGGTTCAAAGTGAAGAAACGCCAATAAACTTGTGGCTGGCATGAACTTTCGCTTCAATCTATGAGATTAAATTAAGTGTGGGGGGAAAAATAAGTGAGAAAACAAAGTGAAAACAATCACCGCAAGCGCCAGCTGGGAATGATCTGGCTGCCAAGGGGTTTTTTCTACAGCTTGCATTTGTTGGTATTGATAAAGATAATGATTTTGAATGAAGCAGTTGAGGTTATTCAATTATGAAGCCAGTTGGGGTGCTTCTGAAATGACCAAGTAACTAGCAGCAATCCATTTGTACCAGAGAATAAAGCATTCTGCAGAATGGAATTAGAGACACCAAAGATTGTTTACTGAGAAAGATGACGATGACTGGAAACAGGCAGAAAATCAACGAGTTCGAAGCAAGAGCTTTTCAAGTCATCTGGTTTTGGATGAGAATTGAGAAATGCAATATCTTTTCGCACAATCACATGGCACCTGAAGTGTAAGCGGAAGACAACTTGGTTAATGTTTAATGGTTTTAGAAGGGGTCAATTCAAGGACGGGACACATCCCCATAGTTGTATTCGAGTTTCGGGAATTGGACATGTACTTGGTAAAAGATTGAACCCACTTGACAGAGTGCTGCGATCAAGTCTGGGACAACGACAAAGCATTGGATGAATTGTAGGACCCACCACGTGCACCGTTGAGTGTATTGTCCACCTGCTGCATCCGGAGCCCTCTGAAGTTCCTTTTCCCGTTCCATGCATCTGTCGTGTATGGACATTGTCTTATCTTTCTTTTTATATATTTATTTATAGTTATTGTTATCCTTATCCCACATAAATCCTGTGCTCTCCTTTTTTTTTTTTTTTTCCTTTTGTTTTATAGGTGGAAGCGGATTAGACTAAGGGTAAGAGGATTGGATTTGGAGATATTAAATTTACGTCAATGATCAACTTGCCTGAGGTTAATTGAGAATACATTTCCTAACACAATTTTTATTTATAAGATTCAATTCTCCGCCTTGCTTAAAAGAATTGAATCCCTTTCACTTAATCTAATCATTATTGTTTTTGGTAAACCATTGTTGCTAAATACATGTCAAGGTTTTAGTTGGAGTGTTTAATGGTTGGATTTGATTTGATCTTAGACCCAAAACAAAATGGAGTTGAACCAACCACTTTCAGAAATTTGCATGTTTTATTGGTTTGGTCTCGTGGTTAGTTTAGTTGGGGCTGGATAGATATGACTCATGTCAAATGAAGTTTTTGCAAAAAAACTATTATCGGTAAATTAGATTACATTTATATCTACTTTTAAATTTTTTTTTTCATTTAATAATCCAATCTTCGCACAAAATTAGTTTTACTTGAAAAAGATTAAAAACCTGAATCTTAAAAAAAATTAGACAAATAATGTTTTCTGAAGGGAAAACAAATTTGCTTATAACATAAAATTAGTTTAACCTGAAAAAGATTAAAAGCTTAATCTTAAAAAATAAATTAAGCAAATAATGTTTTCAAAAGGAAAAACATTTGCTGACGCTTATCAATATAATTTATATAATCTATAGAAAATGATATTATTTTACAAATCAGGAACATAAATTTGCAATTCAATTCTTACATTTTGTGTAATATACAGAAAATGAATAGATTAAAACTATCGGTCTAGCTATAGATTTAGAAGACAGACCCCGCCCGTGGCCCCAGTTACAGGCCGAGTAAAAGTTGTCATCCACGAAAGCATGCATCTCCGATTGAAGTATTCTACATTTTCACGTAATTCATGCGCTCATTGTACTACTACGTGCAGTTCAGGGAATTTGGATATGAAAAGAAAAACATTAGATATCAGAAACTCATAACATGTTTGCATATTATTATTATTATTATTATTATTATTTTGTTCTAATTAATCGCTGAAAAAGACTAAACTGGGCTCGCCAAGGGGTGAGAAGGGGAGAGGGAGAAAACCACACACAGTTGTCAGCTCAAGGTGAACTCTGTTATCGTGTTCATAGAGGCTTCCAAAACAAGCATGGGCAAAAGCAGGACCTTCTTTAGCAAGTGACTATGTACAGATTTATCTCTACCTTCCTCTCTGGCATGTAAACCACCAGTTGAATAAACAAACGAAGACCAAAACTGGGCAAGAGCTTTGGCAAAAATGAGCAAGCCATCAGAATCAATTAGACTTCATCTCAATGTCGTCGTCGTCATTGTCCTTTAAGTTTGCATCAGGGTCACCCCCAGGAAGGAGGCCAAGTAGAGGCAGAGGCAATAATGAGCTAAGATTGCAAAGGATGATCAAAGTAGCCAAATTATCAAATCTATCCTTGGTAATGCCGAATATTTGAGTCAAACCAGCACCTATCAAGCCCCCAAGAACGCTCCCTCCATTAGATATGGACATGAGAGTTGCAAAAAGTGTTGCCTCCATCCCCTCGGGACAGAGTCTTGCTGCTAGCACAAGAACGGGCATGAAGGACGCCTAAAACAGACATGTAAATTAGATGCAAAACAGATTTTGCACTAACAAGAAAAGTAATGGTTAATTAACAAATCAATAGAATAAAGCAAATTTAATGTCCTGAATCATGACGTTTCTATCATTATGTCCAAAATTATATAAAGGACTGGTACAGCTTTTTGATATATTACATTGGTATTTACCTTAGGACCCAGAATCCCCAATAACATGAAGTCTAAATTGAAAGGTGCGTGCTAATTTTGGGTACCTCACCCCCCCCGGTTAAGTGGTTTGTTGATGATCTAACCATAAATATTAAATATGTTGTTAAGGCAAATTTAAAAATTTTAAGGACTTGATAAATTGCTCAATAGCTAGTTTTGCTTTTTTTTTTTTTTTTAACATTGAACTGCACCGTCAATGCCGAACTAGGACTAGCTTCAGAGCAAAAGCATCTCTCTCTGGTGGCAGAGGCATGAATGAAATACTCATTTCTGCAAGAGAGATTGCTTATGTGCAAAAGTGATGCCTAATTCATGACCACGATCATGGTAGAGGAGGTTAGTTAGATCTCCTTCCAGAGCAGGTAGTATAATAAAATCAGTGAAAGCACATAATGATTACCTGACTCAAAACAGTGAGAATTAAAGAATCCCCAATTGCAAACCATTCATCACTAATGCCAAACTTCCGGTTTAGTCCAGTAACCAGGACAATCTAGCAATAGAAGAAAAAGAAAGCAAAACATATTAATAACAGTCAGTCCGAATTAAAAGTATATGGACTTGCTTGAAACATACCACAAACCTGAGTCATCCCGAGAGCTGAACCTACAACAGTAGTTGTTAGAAATATTTTTCGTAAGGATACATTCTTCAAAAATCCATTGTAGAGTCCAACACCAAGCAGGGATGCAATTGAGGTAACAAGCTTAACACGACCTAAAAATTCTGGGGTAAAACCAAGGGCATTTGTGCTGTGATGAATCAGAAAGAAAGATTGTGTAAGATCAAAGGGAATGCTATGTCCTGGCAAGCAAATGCCAAGAGAACAAGAAACTTGGTCCAAACATGAGAGATTCTGATCATATTTAAAGGCTGCACATACGTAAAATAGAACATAGCAGAGTCAGACTGTGGAGTTGCTTGCCACAGGAAAATAAACAAGGTGGGAAGAAAAACATTGGGCCGTCGCACAGCATGCCACAATTGAACAATATTCTGTTTTGAGCTTTCCATAAAATCAGGATCAGCAAAAGGAGGACTCTGGCCCCTTGCAGGACCAAGCATGGGTTGTTCTTTTACAAGAACAGCAACTGCAGATGTTATCAGTGGAAGCAATGCTGTGACACCAAAAACAAACCTGGGGACATCCAATTCTTAGGAGTTAAAAACGGTACTAAAATTACTAAGCAGAAGTATCTTGACTCACAAACTTCTATAGGTACCTTACACCATAAGTTTCCACCAGAGACCCACTGAAGTAAGCGCTCACAATTCCACCAAAAGAAGAAGAACCCCAACATAAAGACTGAAGAGATCCTGAGGTACTTTGTGATTCACCACGTGCCCGCTCCACAACCATTGAATCTACAACCTAAAACCACTTCAGTGTCTAGCATCATTTTCTGAACTGAAAAAATTGAATATTGAAGAAAATAGAACACTAAATCCATAGTTTGGGAGACATTGGGGGACAGATTGAAATGCTTCTAAAAGTGAGAGCAAGGAGTTTGCAAGGGGTTAAGAGGAATTCAGAGTAATATGGGAAGGGGCAGGTTCCTCAAGCCATAAGTTCACAATAACTTAAGAGTGAAGTTAATCACAAAATATCTTCAAGCCATATTTGAACTGTGCAATTTGTTGATTTATTTGTCAACTCAAAAGCAGTTCCAGTGGCATGCATATTTAAACAGTATTGCCAGACACCAGCAGGTGCAATTTATATGAACTTAGAAAAATAAAATCTTAAATTTCTATTCCAATATTCAGCACTAACACTTCCACGTCTAAGTCAAAAGCCTTCATAGTGCATCCACAATATTGCGGTAATTAGAAAAACAAAAGAAACTATAGCCAACTTGGATTCTCCTGATTAGAACATAGAAGTATATAATCATAAGAAGTACACTCAGGAATTGGCAGTGGAGAGAATGAACCAAATGGCAAAATAGTGGAAAGAGAAGTAAATGAAATTCTAAATTAATTTCAATAAGGAATAAAATATTTAGAGTACATTATTTATTAGACATTTACTTTTTGCTAAAATGATAATTGTAAAGATTCAGTTTCTTAAAATTGAAATATTAAAGAAAGATTAATGATCTAATAGTGAATTCAAAAGCTTCTCCTGCAAAACCATCCAAATCGAGGAAACTTAGAAATATGGAGATAGTCACTCCAAAAAAAGGAAAAAATGAAGGTATAGAGATGGGATAACCAGCCTTCCCCAGGCCCATGACCTTTATATGACCAACAGGCTTGTTGATTACATAACATACCATCTACAGCACGTGTAGCTGAATAGGAAGTAAAGTGTCAACGTAATTAAGCAATTCGGGGAAAGGACATCAGAATTAAGTCATTAACTAAGCCGGATAAACTCACAACATCTGAGAAGGCGACAGAAAGAGAGCCAATAAGTATGCAAAAAGCAGCACCATATTTGCTGTCAACAAAAGAAGCCATCAAACTCCATGAGAGAGCACCAAGAAGCCCTGATAGAACTAAGTATGACCTTCTTCGATACCCAAAAAGTGGGACAGAATCACTGCATAGCATATTATAAATAACTTAGATGCAGGAATCCTAGTTCCGTTAAGGGCATAAGAAAAGAGATACAGTAAAGCTTCGCACCTAATAAATCCATAAAGGGGTTTGATAAGCCATGGTAATGCAGAAAACCCGGTAATAACAGCTGTCTAGTCAGCCATGCATAACTCGTCAGTCATACAAGTATAATTGGTTGAAGAAAATGAAATAGGGCACAATTTTCACGGAAGCACTATCACTTTTTGGTGTCAATTTTTAGACCAAGCAAAGGCTCATATATTATTAATTAGAACTTAGATAAAAATAAGTACAATTCATGCATTTAAGCATGAAATTGTCTGAAGAATACACCGTGAGCATTAAGAACACATACCTCAGCAGGATCCAGATGTAAATCATCTTTTAAGTAAAAGTTGACGGCCAACCTTGCAAGTCCCAAAACACCTTGAACAAAATATACCATTGCAACAGCAATATTATCTGGGGATAAATCCACCCCAAACAATTTTATAGTGCCCATACGGTATCTATTTTTGTGAGGAGCAGTTTTACTTGTGGGAGGCACCTCTAGTTCTAGTTCTGCGTTCGTTGTTAACAAATCCCCTTTACTTGCATCTGGTTCAATCATGCATTTAGTCCATCAATGGTAAAAGAAAAATTTTGCGGAACAAAATGCAGAGTATAGTAGTTTAAGAGTGAATGAGAGAAAATAGCATCTGGAAGGGGCAGCAAAAATTGGTCATTGTAACGGGAAAAATTGATTATCCAATTAAATCTTTAGAGAACATTGTAACTTTGCGAGTAGAATTATATAATTCAAAAGTTTAAAGTTCCATTTTAAGCTTCCCCTAAAATATCGATACTTCCCTTGATTCCCTTCTTTTGAGGGTCGAATTCTTCAAAAACATCTAGATATTGTTTTAAAATGCAAATCTACACAAAATAATCCAAAAGCGCATCACCAGCCTAACAATTTATGAGTTATCATCACTTGTCAGGCCCTAAGCTATGCACTGACACCTTCATGCACTGTTAAATATAGCAGTAAAGGAACAGCAAAGTAACATCTTATGCAACCTCTTCACTATTGCCTAGCAATCACGGAGACTCACAACGTATTTCATCGCTAATTCAAGCATCATTTAAACATTTCAAAGTTTAAAAGCAAAACTTGCAGTAATCTTAAATTAATCATTCGCGAACACGAAAATGCTGGATAAAAATGCAAAAAAAAAAAAAATTACCAGGTATCCAATTCTGAGAGGAGCATTAAAAAACGAAAAAGAAACTTACAAGTCCTAGAAGCTAAAAAAGGCTTGTCATCATCATAAAGCCGAAGAGAGGATCCCGACCTCGAAACGGAGGCAGACATAATAAAATTTAGCAGCTTCCGACGCGCCTTCCGATGGAATCCTCTAAGACAAAGTTTCCGGCGAGTCACAAAGAGCAAAGGAGAGGAGCTGGTGGGGTAGAAAGCTGGATTTGTGGAGGGTAAAAATGAGATTACGGAGGAAACATGAGCATACATTATTAAATTATTTGGATTTCGCAGCCGAAAGCCTCAATGAAGCTCAGAACTTCGTCCGTCTTACTTTTCCACCCTCCACAGCACGGAGGCTATTTTATTTTGTTTCGCATTTTATTCTTTAAAAAACTTTTTTTTCCCCTTTCCTTCAGTTTGTCAATTGAAGATTAATGGAGTAGCGATTATGTGTGCATAAAATCTGAAATTCAGTGTACAATAAATATGCTTGAAATGTTTTAGATGAATCATTAGTTAAAATTCATTTGATTAATGTGATATCTGAGATAATGACATCTATTTTATTTTGTTTGCAATTTTGATTTTGACTTTGTTGTTATTGTGGTGGAGTGCAATTAAGTTATTGATATGTGTAAGAGAATCATAATAAATTAAGCGGCGTCTGCTTGAAACACGTCATCGCCTGCAAAGGATTGAACATTGTGATTTTTTCCCACCACAAAGCCCATCTAAAAATTATCGTTGGTTTCTTACCGAAACGAAAACATAAATTGGGCTATGATTTAGGCCGACAACATTGAGATTTTTTACTTTGGCCCACCGACATCTAAAGTTTGATTGAAGGTAATTGTACTAATTGAAATACCGACGAATGGGTTTGCCGTGTGTAAGTTTCAATCACGACAAATGTTTGCTCGTTACCTTGTGCATGGCCTTGGGAGGCTTAGTGCATTGATGATAATTGCAATATTTGTTCGAATTAGTGTAGAGCAAACTTGCAAAAATTGTTAATGAATCTTAGGATTTGTTTGTTTTCTATTTTTAAAAATTATTAAAAAGATGTAAAAATGTAAAAATTTGTTTGGATAGGTGTTTTCATTTGATTTTTTTTAAACTGTTTTTTTTTTTTTTTTTAAATAGCGACAACTTTAAGTTATTTTCATTTTATTTTTCTTATTTTTAAAATACATTACATTTAGTTATTAAAATTATAGTTACCTTGATCAATTTCTATTATTAATCATCATTATTAATTGCCTATAACTATCACTATGATTCCATTTTTAATGTTAAAACTGTTTTTAAATTGACATAATTAAATAAATTTTTATTTTTTTGTTTTAAAAATAATTTTAAAAATGGTATTATAAAATAATTTTTAAATATAAAAATGAAAACAGAAACCAAACAAGTCCTTAAATTCCTTGGGTCTTCATTTCTGCCATTCTTAGGAGAGAATAATTTTTTATCATATTCATAAGATGTGTTATTAATTTTTTATTACAAATTTTTTTTGTCCTTTTTAAATATTAATGGAAGAAAGTATATTATTAAAGGGTTAAAATTAACTTTGTACAAGGTTTTATTTTAGTTCATGAATTTTATAAAGAACATTTTTAGTCTTTTAATCCTAATGTTATTAGTTTCATCTCAAAAAATTTTATATTGAACTTTTAAATATTCATAAAATATTGTCAGATGTTGATACATTAGATTTAATTTTTTAGAATAACAATGATTGATATAAAAAATAATCACTTAAAACTAATAGTGTTAGGGTCAAATGATTGAAAGACACTTTATAAAATTAAGATACTAAATCAAAAATTTATATAAAATTAAAGGATTACAAGTATACTTTGGCCTTGTTAAAATATTTATATTTAATAAGAAAAAAGTTAAAACTTCATTAATTTTTTTAAAAAAGTTAATTAGTATTTATAAATTGAACCAGAAGGCGGAAGGAGTATTAGATTCATCGGTAAATTTGAGATCAATTATAAGGAAAGATGTGGATGGATTTAAATGCATTTGACCTTAATACTGCATATTGATGATTATGTTTATATTACCTTCACACGTCTGGGCAAACTCAATCTACATGTGAGTTTGGATGTTACTGAATGAATGACAAAATTCTTAATCCAGTATAGGGAACTACCGCAAATCTGCAATTCTCCTGTCACTTTTTCGTCAACAAATTCAACCGATTCGATAACCAAAGCAGTCTCTGGGCATGTAATGGAACTGCCCGTTTTACCCAGTAATGATAATATATCGCTGGAAAGGTACTGAAATAATAACTGTAACATTAAGCTGTTAGTGAATTGAAAAAAATGAGAACAATAACTAAACAGAGGATCAATTTAACAAGGAAAAAACAAGAGAGCAAGCGAGTCTTCGTGGGCCCATAACACTTCACGTTTTTTTCTTTTACTAATTAAATAAATTTATCCTACCATTTAGTTGTTAAATACAAAAGTCTACTCATATATATTATTAACAAATTTTTGAATCACTGAGCAATCTCCTAGATATGAATTTGAGCTGAAAGTCTCTTAATTTCGTTGTCATCAATATCCTCATTCAGCAAAATCTTACTTTCATTACTTGCAACCTGTGTCAATTGCAAAAAGGTATGATGTGAATGATCAATACACAAATTCACGTCATACACACAAGTGGATATATAAAAATTAGAGGTAGAGACTAATTATGAATAATAATTAATTAGTTTAATACGCAGAGCTACCTTTGAGATCATTATTGGAAATTTCTCACAGAGATTAATAAAATAATTGGCTGTGCAGGTATTCTTCGTGGATGATTACCAACTGTTCTGCTACCTGCTTACGGGAAAAAAGGTTATGATTAGTATAAGGGCTTCAAAGATAACCACTGTTCTCCTGGCTCAACATATATCAATGCTTATACTTCTAAGTATTGCTTTAAATAACTAGTTTTATAGGTTCTAGCTGCGCAGTGTCTGCTATAATTTGACAAAAGTTAACTAAGCATAATTGGTTATTGTTGAACAGATACATATACACATCGCTGTCTAGAGAAAAGGATCTATGAATGATGCTCCTGTATACTTCATGGAACACATTGTTTTAGTTGAGTTCAAACCATAAATAGCTAGATCGGATGGATACAATATGAAATTTTCATATAAACAATAACCTATATAGGTGCGACATTCGTCGATGTCTCTGATCTTCAGGTTTTCAATGTTTATTGTATCATGTTATTTGGTGCTTCATATCCACATGTACCCCAATTTGACAATTTATGAAGGGAATTGATGAGAAACGAGATAAAGCTAATTAGAGGAACAGGTGTACGTAAAGGGTGTTAGATAATTTAGCAGACGGGTTATATAATAATACCTCTTCAATGCTGCCATCTTCTATGTCGGTATTAAAAGTGAGCAACATGGATTCGTGGAGCAGACTTTCCAGATCCTCGAGACGAACAGGTGCTGCAAATGGTTTAGAGATAGAGATAATTGAGGTGCAACATGAAGAACTGAAGCGATGTAGGAAGAAGAAAATGACAGAGAAGATAGAGATGTGTGACCGGAGGATTTGGAGAGGGAAGAGATGAGATGAGAAGAGAGGTGATGGAATTTCTGGACGGAATCGGAGCCACCCCACTGATTCTGCACCGCCAGCTGAAGCCCATCCCAACCAGAGAGCACCAATCTCACGCCTTCCTCCAACCTATTTCTACCTTCTCGCTTCCCCGATCCCATTTTCGTCGGCCGAGAAAGGAGAGAGATCGATCCACACAGTCCGCGCAAAAACACACAACCAAAGGGCCGCGCACAAACAGAGAGCATATATCTCTATATATAGTTGCATGACGTGGGAAAGAAAAAGGAGCCACGAAATTAATTATGATCCAGGGAGAAGCTAGACCCGTGGGAATTCGTAACCGAACCATATTATGTGATCGCAAGTAAATTAATTAAACATGCATATGTCACGTTTGTAATTAGATTTAAATTATTCATGTAGGTTATTGGGTTGGCTTAGAATGAGGAGAAGTATCTTGAGTGCTCCCTGGTGCCATTGCATGGCGCCAAACTCAATCATTTGTAGGGCGCTGGAACAACTTAATAATGCTCGGTCGATACCACGTGTAACATTGACGTTCCAAGTGTCATGACAGGACTGCGCCGTGTCTCCTTGTTGACACTACTGTTCTCTTGCCATGTTTCTTATGGCGACACGGGCTCTACTACATCCTATATTTAAATCTCTTTAGCTCAAGCGCAGCTCCCCAAGCCATATTGGAAACGTTCGCCTAGTCGCAAATTATTCTCTTTTCAGGCTGAATCCCAGAAAATGAGCCAGGAACAGCCGAGGCCCGCCCACGGGAGTCAACACCCTATCAAAGACGTTGACGTTTTTCACGTGTCCAGTGACCTCGCCAAGAAGCCTGTCGCACCGGAGGATGCTGCCCCGATTCAGAGTGCAGAAAAACCAGGGTGCTCGGACGAACCCAACCCGGAGGACCCGCCGCGGTTATGCAGTCAGCCGCGACGCAAAACGAACGTTCATGCCTTGTCGGCCACCAGGACATTAACGATGTCACTGGTGACATAGGTGTCACCGTTACTGAGACTCGAGCTCCTGGAAACGCATTGTAACTGAATCAGTTGCCGGACAGGCTAATTAGTTTTTGTCTCAACCTTTTTTTTTTTTTTTTGCGCACAAATTCTATATTGTTCATTTTGCAAACAACAAATTCGTCGCAACACAAACTCCTTAGAGTTACAAATTAGTCAACAACAGAAATAATCCAAATGAATCTCTTATTTTCAAATCGATTGGCGCGTTTTCGTTCATTTTCTCCAACTAAAGCATTTATTCAAGCATTTTTGTGGATAACGTCCGCGTTGCGTTTCTTATAAAGGTTGTGGGGAAGTATGTTGAACCGACGCCGTTTCAAGCGGGTGACGCGGGGGCAATTCGAGAGACCGCGGTGACGATAGGGGAGGCACTGGAAGCCGCGGCAGGGAGGTGGGCGATAAGGCGGTGGAGCAGGGCGACGCTGCCGCAATACAAGCGGCGGAAGTGAGAGCAACGGTAAGCAATGCTATGTCAGCGGGAGGGTTGGCAACCATGGCGCAGTCGGCGGTGGCGTATAATGCGGGATGTTGTCGCGACGAGGACAAGGTGAGGCTGAGCGACGTGCTGAGGGATGCAACGGGGAAGCTGGCTCCGGATAAAGCGGCCACTCGGGAGGATGCGGAAGACGTGGCGATCAGTGCAGAAATGAGGAACAATCCGAACACGGGAAGAACTCCAGGCGGCGTTGCGGCTTCTGTGGCGTGGCGGCAGCGGCAAGGCTCAACGAGAACATTAACATGTAGTAATTGCAAAGCAGGCCCTTAGAGACGAAAGTGTGATGTATGACTATGATATTGACAAAAATAATAATAATAATTCACACTTTAGAGATGAATGTAATTAAATACTTGAAAGTAATATATATCACGAGAGGGAAGTGATATGTGGCAATGTTGTAGTATGTGAAATGCAAGTGTATGAAGGTTATCCTTAGTTAATTACGCGCACGCGCAATGTTTTGATGGAATATGAGTAAGCACCGTAATGTATAGGATGGAAGGAAGGTGTCCAATTTTATTCTCAATTCACGTCTTCATGAAAGCAAATAAATGCTCATATATATATATATATATATCAGTCTTGTTAAGACGCTTTATGTTTTATTTTTTTTTTTTATTATGAAGCTTTGATATGACTTATTCTTCTGTACATTTGTTGTTTTCTGTGACTTTTAATTCAAAAAATAAAAGGAAGGAGGGAGGTCAGGAGAGAGAGATTCCGAAGGAGTGGGAGGACAGTGAGAAAGCACATGGGGTGATGACAAGGGAGGTCACCCGTATGAGCAGTGCTTCAAAATATCTTGCTTGTTTCGTTTTTTCAGTCCTCCTCTACTGTATCGTCCTTCATCCTCCACTCTTCTATTCAATTTATTGAATTCGCTTCTGGTCTTGAATTGTTTGTTTCGTTTGGCCTTAAAATTCATTTCACGTAGCTTGTTCAGTCCGACTTTAGAACCATTTTATAGTCAATAATCCAGGTAATAATCACTCTGCAGGGGGGAAAATTGTCCGTGCATCGTTGGTGAATGTTCGATTGTTAACGATTTATAGTTAATCTTTCCCAAAACTTCGTCTCTATTTTATGATTATGAACAGATTTTCCTCCTTTTCCAAGGCACGCCAATTAACAGATATTTTTCAACCGAAATCCATGATCAGAGTTCAGAGCTCGGTAACCACTTATAGTCATCGCGCTACACCAGATGGTCGAAAGAAACACAGCCCCGCACCCTTTTTTGTTCCCCAATCCTCCCCACCCCCATCCCACGCGTGCAACGATATAGTATGTTATTGGATATTGGAACTATTTTTATTTATTAAATAAAAAGACAGGATAAGTGACTTTTTTTATGACTAAATAATTTTGTGAAAACCAAGTGCACGTGTTACTGCTAATAATGGTTTGAACTCCTTAAACATTATTTTTTGAATTTAATTTTTGAAGATGTGTATGGAGAGCATTTTTTTAAAAAGGGCAACTCCTTAAATAACTCAAATTCTTCAAGGGACTAATCTCATGCTTACTGATTGTGAAAATACTCTAAGGGAAAAAAATAATTTTGTGAAAAGATAGAGATAATAATAAAAAAAAACTATGCAAAGGGGGGAGGCCTTGATAAATTCAACTAAAAAATTGGATAAGAAGGGATATGAAATTTTAATGAAAATTATAACATGCTCATAGAAGTTGAATATTGAAATTGATAATTTTTTCCATATAACCAATAATAATTTCTAAAAGTTAAATACCAACTAAAGTTAGATCTGACAAAAAAGATTAGTCCTTCATTAAATGACAAATCAAATTTTAAATCATCATTGAGAGATATGCCCCTATTTAATGGAAGATTATATATCAAATATGATTGTCTTGATTAGAATATAGATATAAAATAATTTATTCTATTTTAAAATCCGCTATCTGCCAAGTGTAATCAAATATATATAACAATTTGTTCTAGTTTATAAATTGATGATATATACCTATACAAATTAAAAATCTAAAACTTATATTTGATTTTGAATTTGCTTCTTCCATATATGAACATCCTTATTTATTTTAGAATTTACCATATATACATATTAAGAATATAAATAACAATTTATTTATTTTCGTGCAAATTATTTTAGAAATACTACTATGGGCATATAATTGGGGGTTTGAACCCAATTCTTACATATATGTAGTAATTTAGTTGATAAAGGTATAACAATGGCTCTCGGTATCTCAGAAAAAATATTCTTTACTATATATCAGTATAACTTAATCTTACTTACAAAAAAAAAAAAAGAAGCAAACACTTGTTTTATTCTTATTCAGGTTATTTTAGAATTTAGTACCCTCATGTACTTAAAAATATAAACATTATCTTATCTCATCATAGAATGTTTTATCTTATGCAAATTAAAATATAGATAACCACTTGTTTTACTTTATGATTTGATGTCTCGCATATATTTAAAACTTTGTTGACCAGTGAGCATAATTTAAAACTTAAATGATATATTTTAGGATAAAGGGGCAAATATACCAATAAAGTGGTTAGTCAGGAGTATCCAACATCCTAAAGTGAGAAAAAAGGTAAAAATATTCAAAACGTTACATGAGTGAGTGTAAAAGTGACTAGACCATTAACTTTAACTTAATGCCGTTAACTTTGATTGTTAAATATTGATTGTGCATGTTACGCGTCAATCTTTACTGATGTGGACTAATAAAGAGGCAAAAATATCCATGAAATCATTAGCTAGGAGCAAAAACACCCATAACGTTATCAGAGTTGGTGCAAAAGTGATCAATCTATCGAATCTCTTAAATGTTGATTGTTTAACTAAAATCTAAGCAAAAGTTGACCATTTTTTTGCTGAAATGGATAAAAAAATGTTCGTAGATGAAATTCTCTAGAGATTAATCGATCATTATATGAATATCATATGAGAAAATATCATTTTGACTGAGTATCAAATTAAATTACTTGTTTCTTTACAGCAGTGGTGAAAATTATTTGAAAAATTTGAACCTATCATAAATAAAATTGCTTAAAGTTGTGACAATATTTTTAAGATAGAGAGGCATAGGAGGTGTGCTCAGTCTCGATTTTTGATTGTGTACAATCTATCTCACACTAAGTTGAATCTCAAATTTTGTAGACAAGAAAAATTAGTGAAAAAGGAGGAAGGAAGGGGGCGAGATATGTGACGATGGAAAAAAACATATGGCATGAATTTTGAAGGATTAGTCCCTATTGCACCTACTAAAGTAACATTATATGTACTCATACAATGATATATCAACATCCATAAAAATTCATTTGGGAATATTTTTGTCTATATCAGTGAAAAAAATTGTCAACTTCTGTTTAAGTGTCAGCTAAACAATCAACATTTAATGAATTTAATAGATTGGTCACTTTTATACTAACTCTAGTAATGTTATGAGTATTTTTGCTCCTAGCCAACAATTTTGTGGGTATTTTTACTCCTGACTGACGACTTCATATCATTTTTGCCCCTTTATTACTCCATATTAGGCAAGACTGACAAGTGGCATGCGCAATTAGCATTTAACAGTTAAAATTAATGGCGTTAGGTCAAAGTTAATGGTTTGATCACTTTTACATTCACTCATATAACGTTATAGTTATTTTTGCCCTTTTTCCTCACTTTAGGATACTGGTTGCCCCTGATAGACCGTATGTTGTTTACACTCTAAAATAGCTAAGTTAACACTAATATAATACTAGTGGCAATTTAGGTCATTCTTTACCAAGGAGGCTAACTAACATTAATTAAGGCTAAATTAGTGAACTTAACTAACTAAGAGTTGATTGATTTTAGCTAATTAAACTAAGTGGACAGATTTAATTAAAAACCTAATTAACTGGTGAAGTGTAAATGAGAGTATTTTAACTCTTACTAAACAGAGTCCTAAGAGTTATGGGATGCTAGATTCCTTGTCTACTCTTTTTAATTAGGCCTAAGTTAATTTTCACTCTCTTGATCCAATTAAACCCCTTACACAATTTTGTATAAGTGTGCCTTCCTGACCAATTCAATTAACCAAGTCCTTGCACAATTTTGTACAAGTCCCTAATCAATTCCTTAATTAAGTACGAAGTGATCAAAATTCTCCTTAGGTTCCCTTTATGTGTAGATCAACCTATGATAAGTCTAATGCATAATTTTATACACAAGATATTTTATCAAGCACTAACCAAATATAATTATGCATAATCAATGTAAGAGACATTCAACATATATAACCATATATTTATATGAATTACAATGTATTGGCAAAAATTTTTAGCAACTACGCAAAGGGGAATCAAGTGAAAAAACACTAAACCAACAAGTTAAATATCAATTTTAGTTAATTAAAACAAGATATATTAATGCTCTTAATTTTAAGAACAAGATTGTATCAACTTAGGTTTAATGGAGAGTGGCCATAACCCCTTAAAGCACTTCAAGACTCCTCTAGCATCCTTCCCTCTTAGTACTCCTTGTAGATTTAGCCTCTAGTCATCTTGGAACCCAATTTAGCATAATCCTTTCACCATGGCTGAACCATACTCATGTACACCTTGAGAATTTTGAAGCCAAATCAAGAAAATGAAGCTTGAGGTTTGAAGAGTAAGGTGGAAGAAGAAGAATGGTGGAGTCAAATTAGGATTTTGATGGTTAGATCATACAATATGGAGGAGAGAAGATGAGATGGAGATGAAGAACATAAAGAACAGTGGAGAGGAAATGGAGAAGGGTGGAGGCTGAAAAATGAGAGTGAATGGAAGAATGAATGTTAAAAATAAAATTAAGATAGTTTGATTCAAGTTTAAGGTGAATGGGTTTAACTCTAGTGTTAAAAAAGGGGTGAGAAATGAGTTAGGATAACTTTATTATTTACCATGGTAAAGGACAAAAATTCAGATGAAAATGATTTGAAAATTGAAAAATAAGTTAGTTAAAGGTAATGGGCAAATTAAGAGAAAGAGTGAGTGGATTCAAATGTGGTACAATGTGCAAGATCATGTAAGACTTGACTTCACCTCAAAACTCAAGTGTTTTTGCCTTTTGACTCATTTATTACTTCAGTGCTAAATTCAAGTTGTGTAACCCTATACAAATAAATATGAGACACAAGATTAAAGTTCAAGCATATGGATAATAATTACATTTTTATTAAAGTTAATTCCTGAATATGTGGCACAATATAAATTAAATAATAAAAATTAATTTTGACATCATAAAAGAGGTTAGGGACATGCTATATAGCCTAAAAATTATAAGCCCACACATGCACAAAATGACCTAGCCTAAGTACAAAAAAATAAGTCAACCTAAACTTTGGCTTTCTAAAAAAGTCAACTTATGAAATTAATTACTCTCAATATAAAATAAATTTTAGAAATCCAATTAAACCATTGTTCTTCTGGACTAAAAATACATCTTGACTAATTTTCTCAAACATTTTTTCAGAAGTTCAATTTTATGACCAAAATGCCCATAATTCACAGAATCCTCTACTTAGGCGATTTCTCACAATTAATGCAATAAGTATGCAATTTGAATAAATATAACATGATTTTTGATTAATAATAATAAGGAAAATTGTGTAATAAATGTGAGTTATCACCTGGCTAACTACTTTATGGATATTTTTCACTTTATCCTATATTTTATTCCATAATTTATTATAACATAAGTTATTTAAAAATTAAAACCGAATTTACATTAATAAAAAATATGTTAAATTAATATAATAAAATCTAGATGATAACTCATTTTACCCTTTCGGCTTCCCTGTACATAATAAAATTATAAACAATATATTTTAAAAATGGATTCCTCATACATATATTACTTATTGCTACTACAGTACTGCACTACCTAACGGCCCACATTTACAACATGTATATATAGATAGATTTTATGTGTAAAATGCATGATTGCAAATTCCAAAATGAAGGCAATCCCACTTAATATCCTGATGCTTGTTTAGGGGCTGCATTATTAGGCAGACAAATGCGAGAGGGCAACCACTCTATCTATCTATATATAAATAATCACACCCAAGCTTTCTCTTGCTCTCTCTCTCTCTCTCTCTCTCTCTGTGTCCAACATGTTCTCCAAGCATTTTCATCTCTGCTTCTTCAAGCTCAAGTGCCCCACCGCCACACCACCCCGTCCCAAACACTCCTCCTCCTCTCCATCTCCTTCTTCCGCCTCCACCTTCCTTTTCTCCGACGATTTCTCCTCCGACTCCGACTCCGACTCTACTCGCGATCCTCTCCCGCCTGACTTCTCTTCCCTTTTCGCCTCCCATCGCTTCTTCTTCTCCTCTCCCGGCCTCTCCAACTCCATCATTGAGTCTCCCGACACTCGTCCAACCACCACCGCCCACAGCCGTACTGACACGACGATGTCGACGTTGTTGCCCAGAGGCGGCGGAGTCGGAGTGCCCAAGTACTCCCTCGATCCCTACGACGATTTCCGCCGTTCCATGCAAGAGATGATTGATTCCAGGGAATCGGTGGACGTCACCAGAGATTGGGATTATCTTTACGACCTCCTTTTATGCTATCTCGCTCTCAACCCTTCTCACACTCACAGGTACATCGTCCGAGCTTTCACCGACCTCGTCGTCCATCTCTTGTCCTCTCCTCCTCCGTCTTCCTCCCTACCGGAAACCACCCAACAACCACCACCACCACAGTAGCTTTTTTTGCTTTTTCTTTTTCGGGTGTTTGTATATTTATTGTAAAATTATTTTTCCCCCTTTAACACATCGCTGCTACGGATCTGAAGCGTCAATTCTACTACGCCAGTTTGGTATGTTTAGAATTTTACTACGTGCTATTCCGCTAATTTTTTCGAGGCTGAACTTTGATCCCTTGGTCGGATAACATAAATTTGCTTTGATGATCGATGTATATTACGTTTTCCAAGAGAGAAATGGAGTGGCGGTTGTGAAGCCCGTTGTGATTCTATATAGGCCCCCCCTCTCTTTTCCCTTATAAATTATACTTAGTGCTTGGTGAAGGGGATTGCGAATCCAGCGATGAAGACAAAGCAAAATTGTATTTTGAAGATCACAGTTTCACATAACCAAGGAGGCCTGTAGGAGAGAGAGAGAGACATTATTAGTATTGTCTCGATGCTGTATTATTATAATGTTTTCTCTATTATCACTTTGTTATGGAAATTAGCAAAACTACTCCCTCTATCCCCAAACATACCCATTTTTTTTTCAAGTCATTGTCCCCTTTTTATGATAACTTATGTTGAAATTTAATAAGATGTTTTATAAAATATTTTCACGTGTACTATTATATTTGATGATTTTCTCTTAGATCCTCATGAAATGATTTAACTATCATGAAACATTTAATTAGAAGTAGATTTTAGAAAAGATAAAATATTTAATTTGGACATAATTAACTTCTTTTGTCTTGATAAGTATATATAGTATATATATTTGTATATTGAGATGGAGGAAGTACCGCACTCTTTCTGAGTTTTTTCGAGTGAGACGGGAAAACAAAAGAAAAGGGAAAAGGGCTGTAATTTTGATGGAATTAATTGTGGCATTTTGGGAGGGGACAAACGAGAGGGGGTTTATTGTCCTTGCATTGTATTGCGTGGTCCTAGAATGGTAGTACTAATAACCAACTTGATGATCAGCCTTTTTTTTTTTTTTTTCTTTTTCGGTTGGGTCACAAACCTCTCCACGAGGGGCAATTAATTAGTATACGGGTATGAAGCAGGAAGTACAATGATTGGCTTTGTTTCTCCGAGAGCCTGTCCTTAAGAAGCAGAATAAGTTAATCTGGTAAGTCGACCGTTGGTCAGATATACTAAAACACGAGCAAGCTGATCAGTTGTTACATAGTGTGTGTGTGTGTGTGTGTTTTGTTTTTCCTAGAATAAATTTATTTTCTATATTTGTAATAAAAATATATATGACGTTCAAACATTAATTGACGTCCAAGACATCGAGTCAAAAGTCAATAATAATCAACGCTTCAAGAAGAACAACACCGACACAAATGCGCTTAAACAAAACGCTTTGCATTCACAAAATCTAAATATATGAAAAGAGACAACTCTTTCATCTCGACGAGCATGCGTTTTCTTGTCAATTTGTTATCTAGATTGCGTTACACAATAATTCTCCTGAGAATAATGGCCTTCAAGATGAATTGAATAGGTATAGATGTCCGTATAAGAAGAGTTCGGAAATCAAGTGTACTGTCTCAGGGTCCTGAGATGGGTGAAGTGATCAGGTCCAAAATTCCGAGATGGTCTATAAAATGCATAACACAAGATATGGTTGAAGAATTCATCAATTAATGAGCATTACATCGGGGGGATTAATTTAAAGGGGTGTGCATGGGATTTTAGTTAATTAATTAATTAACGCGGTACTGATTAATTAATTCATATAGGGGACACTCGGAGACAAACCAGATAGGATCCAAAGTAGAGCGTGTCAGCAGCTACATACATCAGAAAGGAAAATGGCTGTGAGAATTAGAATTGCAAATTACTAGTCCCGGAGGTTAGTACTAATATGTAATTAATTAGAGTTTTATTTGGTGGTTTAGCTGAGGTTGTAAGTGGTATACTGCTTGTCCTTATACAGTTGAGAAATTATTATTTGTCAAGACGTTCGTTTTCCTCATTAGCGTTGGTTTTAGGGAGGCATGGCTGTATAATTAAGGGAGAATGACATTGGAGGTCTTAAAAAGGGAAATTATTACAACATGGGTCTATTAATTTTGCTTTGAATATTTTGTTATTAAAACACGGACATGTTGTGAAAAGTTGAACTTTAACTTGTTGAATTTCTGAGAAAATCCTAATAAAAAAATACAAATTAACCTTTTCACAACAATATATCTGTATTTTTATAACACAATATCCTATGCAAAATTAATAAGTCTTTATTGTAATAATTTTTTTTAGGGCTTTCAATGTCATTCTCCCAATAATTAACCAATTTCCATTAAGTGTAACAGTGTAACTACTACCATACTTCTCATTTGGACTATTAGCAAGAATGTTCACCTATAATACAATATCCTATTTAATTTTAATCAATGATCAACGTCCACATGGAACTACCGAACACCTGGATCCATGAGTATGCATCTAATGCGTGAGAGAGAGAGAGAGAGAGAGAGAGACAGTGACTTGATTTTAATAATCGTATATAGTTAAACAATGAGCCTCTGATGATAGGGAGGCGCTTCATTTAAAAAAAAAAAAACTAGAGTTGTAAGAAAAGAATTAGTCTAACTACTACCATTTGTCTTAAGGAAAGTCTAACTACTACCATACTTTCATTTGGACTACTGTCAACATTGAGTAGGCTATCATTGGCCTGAATATTAATAATTTATGGGTAAGAGTAGTACTGATTCCAATTTGTTTTTTATGGGTGTTGATTTTTTGATTTGCATGTGCACCCAATATCATGGGCTTGTCCCATGTTTGGTTAAGGAGATTTAATGGGGACTAATTGGGTCATCAAGCATTGTAGGACCTTTTGTCATGAACTTTGTCATTAAGTTTTAATATTATTATATTTTCAGGACTCAAATTTAAGACCACTGATTGAGATAAAAGAACCTCTTACCAATAATTGATCTTGGTGTTTGGTAGTTCCATTGTTGAAATAGGATCTCAAGTTTTCTTATTTAGAAAATACTCACAATATTATTTAGTAAATAAAATATTATTTACTTCTTTGGAATATCTTTTGGGAGTCAAAAAAACTTAAAACTAGTTGAAAGATATCAACGAGTGAAAGATAAAGGGACACACTTGTGGCTTGTCCTTCTTTATGATGCGTGCTATAATGCGGAGGCTATGTGCCATAGGGTGCTACATAAAATTTGACAGTTCTATGCTATCATATGACAACACCTATGGCACTTTCGACGCGCCCCATTTCTCTGGCATAGGTTTCACTCCTAAATTATTTCTTATAAGAGAGTTGGATACCTAAATTTTTTTTTTTACTATTTCACACTTTTTATAGTATAAAGGTGTCTAAAACCCAAACTTGTGCCAAAAGTTTATGCTAACACCCAGTTTATACTCAATGGACCTAGGACTACTTGTATAACACCATATGTACATAATCATAATAAAATCCCATTTTCACTCTTCAACCCTTTAATATAAAAAACAGAAGTGGAAGTTTTAACATTTCATTTCATTAATTTACTTTTATAGTTATACATAATTCAACATTTTTACACTTACATTAGTATTTTAGCCCTATCATCAATAATCAAACTTAGATACCACATTCTGAGGCCCAAAATACATCCCATAATCATAAACAATGATATATTGTAAGTGTAAACAAAATGCATCCCTTAAATTGCAATATTCTATGCATAAAATAAATGAGTTTTGGAGACTTTAAAGTAGGAATAATAAAAAGCTTCTAAAGCCTTTTACCTTTTTGCACCTAAGTTAGAGCTTGTAAAATATTAAAAAAGAAGGGTGAGTACAACTACTCAGTAACTAAGGGATGTTCATCCTATGCAGTTGTATATTAATTGACAAAACATACGGATGAGAGTTGAATACTTAAATGTATAAAATCACACATCACACATACCATAATTATACAATTTATCTTATGCTCATTTTTTTATAATTCAAATCACAAGTCACATTATCACAATATAGATAACCATGTGACAATGGTCTAATTAATAATAATGATGCACATTACTACAATAATAATAACCATATAACAATGGCACACACAACTATCATGACTTGCTATAAACTTATCAATCATATGACATGTTGGATAAAAATAATGCATGATTGATTCCTCCTTAATTATATTCTTATTTTCTTTGATTAAAATTATGGGCTATAAAATCAATCAGGGTTTTACCTGTATGAATAAATTATCCAAGCTCATCAATTGTATATAGTGACTTAGCCAAAGATCATTATACTCACTCTTAGACCACAACTTCCTCCATTCTTGAATCCTTAGGGTGCTATAATACCCTAATCTAGTCTCCTCGACAAACAGATAGAGATAGCTATAGGTTTAAGTCACTTACCAAATCATAGGATAATCCCTCGACAAATAGTGAGACAAGACTAGCCATTGTGCATCGAAAGGTGGCCATAGAATACCATGTAGATTTATCTACTCTTCTCTTTAGGTGAATTCATGCCAAATGATCATGCAATATCTCATGCTTACCTATACATATTTACATGCTTGTAACTCATTAGATAAAGCTCATTATTTTGTATCATTTGATTAGTTAAATCATATGAGCATCAAAATCATTATCACTTTTCACATATAACTTTTTCTATACTCAGCCACTACATTCAGACTATCACACTCATATGATCATCAAAGAAACTTGTCAACTTCTCATTTCTTCACAAACTTGCAGTATGTAATTGTTTCAAGTTAACTTCTTCTCTTAAAACATAACAGAGATATTACAAATATATTAAATTCAAACATCACCTATTTGGCACATATATAACACTACATAGAGTACTCATCCCTATTAAGCAAATCATTGATGACTTTCAATATTTTACTAAATTTATTCTTATTTTTAATGCAATTAAAAGTCACTTGTTTGAATTTATTAGTAAAAAATATGATTAAGTGAATGATTATATGTGAGAATGGACATGAAAATGTGTTAGAAATTAGTGGACTAATTTTAGCATTAATTTTAAGTTTTATACATGTAAGGAGGGTTAATTTATGGGCTTAAAGATGAAAATTTTAGAGCTTAAGCCTAAGGAAGTAAATATAAAAAGAAAATTTACATAGGTCATATTTGCTGTAACGAAAATGTGTTTCGCTGCAGCAAAATGCGATTTTAGTAAAACATATAATTTTAATTTTAAGTGAACTTTTAGGGTTTGATGACCTTATTTTCGACCATTCTTTATTTCTAGTAGTTGCAGAACATCTAGGGAGAGCAAAAGGAGCCAAATAACGGTTGGAGACGCTTGGGTTTAGAGAAAAATCAAGAGTTTCGCTTAAGATTGCTCTAATTAAGCTTTTCTCGTCCTTCTTCTGTTTACTTTACAATATATATTGCTGATTTTGCTATCATTGGAGCCATGTGTGGCTGATTTTCTCTCAATCTAAGATAGCTATGAACTGATTCTTGGATTAGAGTATGTTCAAACCATTTATTTAAACTTAATATTAGTTTTGTTTACTTAATCTTATGCTTACTTGTCTACTTAATGCTTAGCTACCATTGAATGTGAATTTTTTTTGAATACAAGGCCA